GTATCGGATCAATTAATTGTCAAGTCAAAAACAAACAGGCCTTTTCTCATAAATGTTGGGGCATTTCACATTTTATTCTGAGAGAGACAGCAGCAAAATGAGGAGGCAGAAACATTTGACTGCGGAGGAGGTTCATGAGCTAATCTTTGACCGTGTTATGGAGGAAAAATCAACCGATGAGGATGATTCAGGGTCAGAAGAGGAGGAAACTCATGAAGAGGAGATGGATGTAAGTTACAGACCAAATTCTTCCTCTGAAGAAGCCCCCACATCACCCGCTTCTGAAATGGAAGAAGGTTTTGAAATGGAGGAAAATTAATATGAAGATGTAGAATCAGAAATGGAAGAAGTGTCAGAAGTGGAGGACCACACTTATTTTGAGGAAGTGGAAGAATCCACTGATGAGGAAGAATCTGAGGAAGAGCACCCAGCTGAGATAGAAGAATATTTCCCATCTAAGAATAAAAAAATGATCTGGTCTTCTATCCCTCCCAGTGACGGACGTCGCATGGTAACAGCAGAGAGAGCAGAGAGAGAGACAAGCTGCCAGGGTCCAACCCTGTATGCAAGGTCTCGTATTGAGGACATAAAGTCCGCTTTTTATCTGTTTCTGCCGAAGGCCATTGTTACGGCTGCTGTTTCTGTCATCTAAGAGTCAGTACTGAACATGGCTGCGTTTCACTTCTCTTATTTTTCATTTCCTCGCTCCTCGGTCTCGGTCTCACCGGAAGTTGATTTGTCTGCCCCATCTTGAATAGCGTCCCAATAGCCTTATTTCTGCCGGAGGAGCGAGGAGCGAGGATCGAGGAGCGATAATGGAGGAGCTATAATCGAGGAACCACCAGACCATCCTTCGATGAAATCCTCAGATACTCGCCCCACCCCATTACTGTGTATCGCTCACTGATTGGACGATGCAGCGCATGCACTGATCTGTTGCTTCTTGACATGAGAGCAGTTTCCCAGCGTAGTGAAGAAAACACATGAAACTCACGGGACTCACTCCTCAGTTTATACTGTGTTTTGTTTCAATTCATGCATCATTCAGTTACAAATATGTGATATATCTGAACAACAAAGTGGTCAAAAATCATTTTATTCATTTATTGGAAACATTTTCATGATCGCTTTTTCGTTTTACATTTTCATTTATTGTCATTTCCATTCAGTCAGTCATTAAGTGCTATTTAACACAGGGGTGGGCAAACTTTTTGGCTCGGGGACCACTTTGAGTTTTAAAATTTGACAGACGGGCCGGGCCAGTAGCAGATCGGTAAAAAGATATTTAGCTGTCCACTCCTCATTATACACTCGGCACTCAATGTTGACTTTTCTTTTCTTTGGTCCACTCATTGTTACAGATGCAGGTTCAAAGGTGAATTAGGTTCAAAGGTGAGTTATTGCGTCATCGTTTGCGTCATGACGTAACCGTTTACGTGCCTTCTTATGACCCACACAGCGTTTTACGTCGCTGATTTTCTCCGCAACACCGCTCACAACAACATCAATAGAGGACTGCGTCGGGTAGTTTTTAATCATACGAAGCGAGATTAAATTAAAGAACTACTTCTCCAACCTTGTACCTTTCTCCAGAGTGCCGTGGTGCATTGTTTATTAATGTGGTTCGGAGTTTATTCTCCTGTTAACTCGCGGCAGCGGCCGCTGTAAAGTTTTCATTGTCTGACTGTCACACAAGCAGCTGATAAATATCCCCCATCCCCATAAGTGAATGTGTTTTAGTCTGAAAGCTGTTTGGCATCACAACGCTGTTATGAAAGTTTCTCTGGCATTCTACAGGTGATGTTAGCATAGCAACCGAAGCTAATCAGACTATCTTGACTACTTGTTGCGATCATATTGTGGCATAAGCCGTTTTCTACACGCATATTGTGCCGGCGTAGTTTTCGTTATGATTTTCCTTGTGATGGCCACATGTAGCCCATGTATTGATTCCATCCGATAGCTGCAATAATACAAAACAAAAGGAAAACGTCTGCCTCTTCACAATGGTCAATAACAGTGAACGGATGGTCATTAAAGTAAGGTCAAATAAACAGAATCACACTAAGCCTGGTTAGTGTTGCCTGACTTTATATAAGTGTTTTTTATAAGTGTGTGGTCGCGTTCTAGTCCCTTTGCTCAGCGCTACTGCTTGTTACAACTTGTATTCGCCGTACTCGCCATGAACTGTTATTGCTCAGGTTAATCTCGACCCCCTCCAATGTAAGCGTGACGTATTTTGTTCTTTGATCTTGCCGGGTTGCCGAGTGGGGCCAGCTGAGAGAATAGACCAGACTCCAGCAAAGGTAAATTGTGTCTAGAGTGCGCCATCTAGTGGGATCAACTGAAATGCCGGGTATTGCAGGAAAAAGGCAAAATAAATGCGGTCTTTACTATAATTTGGACAATTTTGTACCAATATTCGGCGGGCCGGATTCAAAAGCCCAACGGGCCGTATATGGCCCGCGGGCCTTAGTTTGCCCATGCCTGATTTAACATGTTAATTTGCTACATATCCACACAAACAAAGTGTGCAATCCAATGAATGTTAATCTAACTGGGTTTTGATAGATAACATATCTCTTTTTCTTCTCTCAATTATTTCTATTTCTATTGTGCACTCTAATCAATATTAATCTAACTATTGTTCGTTTATACATTTTAAGAATGGCGTTTATCTTTTTTGAGAATGAGTTCTTATTTGATTTTATTTATTTGGGTCTACAACAGATGATACAAATGTTTGTGTCAGTAAATGTGTACTAACAGAGGCGGGGGTGTTTGTGAAAATAACGGGGACAGAGCAGCTGTCAGACGATCAGCTGTGCGGCGTCATCACAAACGGACGTCGCTTCACGTGACGCTCCGGAGGAAACGACGTCCCATTGCTCTTAAAACTCATTTCCCTGCTTCTCGTGGTTTCCTTGCGTCTCTCCATGCTTCCCTGGTGGGAGGGACTAGTCGCAGGGAAACGACGCAAGTGAGGGACGCAAGGAATCCATTTAACCGAAGTGAAACGCAGCCCATGACTAACAAGGAGGGGCAGCGTGTTTATGGGAAAAAATGGAGAAAGATGGATCAAATGGACCTGCAGGCATACGTGGGTTTGTTGGTTCTAGCTGGAGTGTACCGATCCAGCAAAGAGGCAACAGCAAGTCTATGGAATGCAGAGTCTGGTAGGGCAATTTTCCGTGCTACCATGACACTTAAAATGTTTCATAAAATGTCCAGAGTCATAAGATTTGATGACAAAGACACAAGAAAAGATCGCCGGGCACGAGACAAACTTGCTCCAATTCGAGACGTTTGGGACACGTGGGTGTCTCTCCTGTCAATGATGTACAATCCAGGCACTAATGTGACTGTCGATGAGCGCCTGGTCCCATTCAGAGGTCGCTGTCCATTCAAACAGTATATCCCAAGCAAACCAGGGAAATATGGGATAAAAATATGGGCAGCATGCGATGCCAGGTCAAGCTACGCATGGAATATGCAGATATACATTGGCAAACCTGCTGGCGGGACGTCAGAAAAAAATCAGGGCATGCGAGTTGTCCTTGACATGACAGAAGGCCTCCAGGGAAAAACGATAACCTGTAACAACTTCTTTACTTCACATGCCCTTGGCCTGGCGCTGCTGAAAAGAAAGCATGGTAGGAACAGTAAGGAGAAATAAACCTGAGCTTCCCCCTGCACTGGTGTCAAAAGCGGACAGGGCTCGTTTCTCATCGAAGTTTGCTTTCACTGAGACCCATGCTCTGCTGTCCTATCTCCCCAAAAAACAGAAAAATGTTCTTCTGATGAGCACTCTGCATCGGGATGCAGCTGTGAGCGACAGGGATGACAAAAAGCCCAAAATCATCCAAGATTACAATCACAACAAAGGGGTGTCGATAACCTTGACAAGGTATTTCACATTTATTATTCATAATGTTAATAATATTAATTATGCAAAGGTTAATGCATTGAATTTAGTTGTCTTCTTCAACATACTCGACGTGTCTGCATACAACTCCTTTGTCCTGTGGTCTGAGATCAACCCAGCCTGGAATCAGGGGAAGTGCAACAAGAGGAGGCTGTTCATGGAGGAGCTTGGACGACAACTTGTGATACCTCACATCCAGCGACGCAAGGTCAGCATTAAGCTTCATTTCTGTTGCTCTTCCTTCTGTAGTGTCCTCACAATTTGAACTTTTTGTATTTGCACTGTGATTTATTATAATAAAGTTTGACTTGACTTGACAGGTTCTTCCCCGCACGCCAGCCGCTGCCAGTTTGGTTATGGAGGTCCAGCAGTTCTGCTCCAGCTCTACCTCTGCAGCAACTACCCGTCACCCAGCTCCGGCTCGCCAAGCTCCCCCTCCTGACCCATCACCCAAAAGGAGCAGGTGCAAATTCTGCCCTCGCCAGATTGATGTCAAAACCAAGAAAATGTGCCAAAGATTCAATGCATACATCTGCAAAGATCACACCATTGTTACCTGCCCTGCATGCAACTGAGGGCACATTAAGGGCACGTTCTATTGTTTCATACTGAAAAGTATGTTTTGAATAGTTAAATGTTTTGGAAATGAATGTTGATATATTTGATATGTCAGGTTATGCTAAAGTTGAAACACATGATTTTTCAACACACGACTGTAATCATTTACTTTTGTCAGAATAATTGGGGATTTTATGTATTTTTTTTATCAAAAACAAGGTGAGAGTTCATGTAAATGAGGTCTAATTTTCCTTAAATTCCAAATGGAATAAAGAAATGGTTGTCAATGTGTTTCAATAAAGTTGGCATTAAATGTATAACACAGAAATGCGTGAGGTTTCCACTTTAAATTCTTGAAATAACAGTCAAGCCAGACGGGGTCAAAAATGACCCCAGAGGGCACAAGGTGTGATTATGTGTTGTCATTAAAAAAATATAAATTATTCAAAAAGGGCATCCTTACTAAACTTTGACATATACCAGTCTGTGATAAGACAAATAGTCACAATACGATATGTTCAAATTATTAAATAGTTTCATTTATTTTTTAACTCAGAAAATGGTAAAATTTCATATAAAAAAGGTCTTTTGGCCCTAAATTCCAAAACAAAGGGAAACATGTGTGGTAATGGGTTGGACTGAAGCAAAACTAAAGGTGTAACACAAAATGTATTGACATTTCATACTTTATGCTTTAAATAACAGTCAAGCAAGACGGGGTCAAAAATGACCCCAGAGGGCACAAGGTGTGATTATGTGTTGTCATTCAAAAAATATAAATTATTCAAAAAGGGCATCCTTACTAAACATTGACATATACCAGTCTCTGATAAGACAAATAGTCACAATACAATATGGTCAAATTAATTCATTGTTTCACTAAATATCAGACAAGCCAGATGGGGTCATTTTTGACCCCAGAGGGCACAAGGTGCATAGTAATCGGGAGGACATTACGAGAGTTAAGATAATAATTGATCATTGCACGTCATTGATTCAGAGCACCACTACATTTCACACTTCAAAATAAAATGTAATTTCACAGTTTCATTCACAATGTTGTGTCACACTTGCTTTCCTAGGGCTTTGAGTAACAGAACAGTACCTTTACAATGCAAACATATTTTAATGCTGCCTGTAAGACCTAAACTACGCTGATTTCAAAACTAACCATGTCTGTTGCACCATCTCTTACAATATCATCCCAGTAAACTGCATCGTTTCTGATTATGTGCTGAAAATCCTACAATAACTGTCAGATCTTTTGAATAAATAGCCCTAATGAAATAATGTGTACGGTTCCATGCATTGATTTAGATATTGGAGAATGACTCTGACGCACCAGCACTGCCCGAGTTTGCAGTCTCTGACACACGGTAGATGTCTGAAAGACAAATAACAAATTGTTATTAGGGAAAATGTATCTCAGTAAATGAAAAGAACTGCTCAATTTAAAATTAAAACTTGCATCTTCTTCCACGCAGTCGATGGAACCAGTTCAGTCCAGTGGAGGAAATTCCACCACTTGTACTCTAAAGTAGAAAAAAAAAATGTATATGGTATAAATAGGTGATTGCAGGATGTCTTTGTTATTTAATGGGTAGAAACATTATGAACAAGAAAAACTGCATACACTTTCAAATGACTTACTCTTGTTGTATTGGAGCCTGTGCTTGTTGTAGGCGATTTTCTTGCGAGGATAGAACGGATCTACAGGAAAATCAAATTCATCTCAATCAACTTATGTGCGATTCGGAAAACATTCAGGAAGATTAACATTTTTAAACAACATTTTAGTGAAAATAAGCTTACTTGCTTTATAATTAGCATTAACTCTCTTGTGAGCTTTAGAGGGGCTGCTAGGCATATTCGCACAGTAGGCTACAGTACTGCCCTTGTGTTACACTTTGCTATCTGAACTTGTATAGAACTCTTTCAAACCAATCCATTACTGAGAGAAGTATTTAACAAATATGCCCTTAAATCCTCTATTCACATGTAACAATTACCAGTTTACCTTTGATAAAACAATGGATTGCAAAACAAAGCTTGAAGCAGTAAAAACAAGCTCTTTTTGCAAGCCACGATTGGCTGGAATACAGCATGTCATCATTGTCAAGGAAGATAGAGGCCCTCTGTTCTGGCTTCGCCAACCATTTGGTGTGTTTTTAAGCTAGCTCTTACGTGACAGGAAGATAGTTTTAGTGATTCTAAAATAGCATGTGTGCTCCAGTGAAGCTGATACATGCTATTCCTGTGCCATCCTTCGTTCACAGCCCTTGAGACGGCAATACCTGTACGTTTTTATGTTGTTATATTTATATCTTTACTTTGAGTGCATTCTTGTAATTAGATTGCAGCCAGTTATATGGAGTGAGCAAGTTCATTTCACACATGTGTATATATTCCTTATAGTCAAGGGCTTAAAACTAGGGTACCAGTATTTCCAAGATCCACAGCTCTTCACTACGAAATGGTGGACGAAAACATTCTTCCAATAATTCTGTTAAATTTGGCAGGATTTGTTTTTCTTGTTTCCTTCACTTTGGGTAATCTTTTTCCCATTAAAAAGTGACGGCGTCAACACAGCCTGAACTACAGGACATAAGCCAGATGAGCTGATTAGCCGGCCTTCTATTTATTGTGTTGTGTACTCTTGCTTTGGCACTGGTCTTGCTGTAACATTGTAAATGTTCCTGCCGTTGGACAGTTAAGGACTTCTAATTCTGATTCTTGATGTTTGGCTTTGTTAACAAAGTTGTCAACCTGCTAGTTTTTATCTTAAGTAATGCTATCATAACAAATGCACACTCAACGTTATGGTGTAAATGTCAATTAAAATCTTTAACTGGGGGCACTAAATCACAAAGGTACGGAAATCTCTATCATTTTGTTTCAATGCTTCATGATAAAATCATGATGGAATATAAAATATGATAACAATAATGCTAAAACTGATATGACTTTAATCCTTTTTCATTGCATGATATTAAGTTATAATCTGGTATTTTTACCTTCTGGCAGGTTAAAGGATTTGAATACTTCTACTACTACTATCAAAAGAGGTATCAATCATCTATCCACAATTATTATTTTAAAGACAACATACCTTTGAATCGAATAGTGTCCCAAACACTAAAATGAAGAAACCCTGAGGAAAATGAAATAACACGCATATTTCTTTAACATCAAAGAAATTGACAAAAATAGGTATTATATAAAAAATACTAATATGTAAGAACAAATTGTTATTTTTAATGGTTGCAAATACCTGTAGTGAATTGAAGAGTGCAAAGACAATGTGGAGTCCTCTATTCCTTGAGTCTAGCATGGTCCCCACTCCTAAAGACCAGGTCAGTCCAAATAAAGGAGTCAAAATGGCCACACACCTTAGAATGACCACCAGCGTATGCCTTTCATCTCTTTGGGCGGCGTCTCCCACGCCTCTTCTTAGCATTTTGAACAAGACCACGATTACGATAATTATGTTGATACAAACTATAGCTAAGGCAGGTATCACAAACGCCAACAGGGCCCTTGTTTGCTCCCAGTTAAGCCAACAAGCCTCTTTTCTCCTGATGTATCCATTTCCTGGTGCTGTGGCGGCAACAGTAACAACAGCTATAATCAGAGGGCACCCGTAGCCTAATAAGAAGCCAATAGCCAACATGACTGACTTGGACATGTGGGAGAAGACCATGACTGTCCGGTAAAATAGCAGAAGGCCTGAAACTAGCATCCAAAAGAACAGCGCAAGGTAGAAAAAGTGCATAAAAAATGTTGCTGTGCTGCAAGGTTCAACTGGAACATCATAGCTCTTCCCGGGTCCCGGGTTTTCAGCTGGGTTGTCGGCAATGAAGGCACCGATGATAAAACAGATGTCAGCGATCAACAGAGAGAGGGCAGTGTTAATGATGGAAACATGACGCATGAAGGCAGTGCTATTTTTAGTTATGGCTTTCCAAACGTATCCTTCAATAATTAAACATATAACTAAACTTGCCATAGAGATCCCAACTCCAACGTAGGTGATTAGATCCAAGATTGTTGCGAGGTCTTCAGGGATACCAGTTGACATCAGAAATGAAAATGAGGTGAGATGGTCGCATCTGCAGGTTACTGTGTCATTTATATCGGAAACAAACTCACACCCGTCACTATCCCAAGCACCCCTGTTGTCAAACAGTGTAAAGTTCCAAAATACACACTGAGGATCTTGCGTCAGAGTCGTGTTTAACTTGGCGTAGCTTAAAGTAACGTTCTGAATCTTTTCATTTACTTTGATTAGCACCACAGCTGTGTTGAGGGCATTAATGGGGTCAGTGTTATTGGTGTTGGTGTTGAAGAGGCTGGTGTTCCGTACTGGCATAACATTATTTAGGGTGTAGAAAGTAATAGTGGTGATAGAGACGTTGCGAAAGCCGGTGTTAGGAATGTCCAGGGCAACGCTGCTGTTCAGATTTAGGTAGAACGAGTCGTCAAAGGTGCTTCTGTTGAGGAGGATTGCATCAGTCTCAAAGGTAAATGTCCCAACTATTCTATCAGAGAGGAGTTCCATCGAACCCAGTAAATCAGAGCTTGCGTTGCTGTTTTCGTTTGCATTCAGAACTGTCCAGGACTCTCTTGAATCATCACCAATAATGACATCAACTGTTTGAAGGACACTCTGCAGATAAAGAGAGATTTCATTGTGAGGTTACATCCGCATCAAAAAAATATATACGTGAACTGCTCTATCAGTCACATCGACTCCGATACACATTTTGAGTTATGTACACAACTGGAAAGAGGAGATTCTTAGCTTTCTGAAGATATCCTTATTGTTTTTGAATATTTGCAAATATGAAATATCAAGATACGATTTTTTTAAAAAGGCCTTCAAGGTTTGCTGACAATATTTTAGCTATAGCAATTTAAAAGAGGGGGCTCAAGTTCAGGACAAAAGTGCGACCGAAAGTAGGTGTGTGTGTGTGTGTGTGTGTGTGTGTGTGTGTGTGTGTGTGTGTGTGTGTGTGTGTGTGTGTGTGTGTGTGTGTGTGTGTATTTTCCGAGGGGGAAAAATGTATTTATTGTATAAATGTGATATAAAAGATTGATATTCTGGAAGCAAAGACATTGTTTTTTTAGAATCAACCAAAACCCCAAATGCAATGCGCCGTTGCGACATCCGACTGGTTTCAATAGAGCAGTTCACATATTTGTTGACATAAAAGACACGCTCCATTGCTACTTGACCTCTCATTCACACTGTTACAAAAGACACGTCCCCCCTGGAGACTGAACTGCACACTGTTAAACGATGATCGATTCTGTGAAACAATCTCTAAAGCTATTGATGATTTCCTTACAACCAATATGTCTGATTTCATATCACCATCTCTTTTGTGGGAGACGTTAAAAGCTGTATTCCGAGGAGAGATTATCTTTTACTCTGCAAAGCAAAACAAATTGAAAAAGCAAAAACAGTGAGAACTTTTGGGCAGTATAGCAAAACGAAATAGCAAACTCTCAACATTTCCATCCCCTGAACTAGATAAAGAAAGGCAAAATCTTCAGATGGACTACAATTTACTTTCAACGCAAGAGACTGAGAAATAGCTTTTAAATTTGCGTGGATTTCAGTATGAACATGGGGAGAAGGCGGGTCGTCTCCTAGCGCACCAAATTAAGAGCCAGTCGGCCTCCCAACAAATTAAACAAATACGGACCCCTACTCCTGAACTCACAGCAATCCCATCTGTTATCAATGAGACTTTTAAAACCTTTTACTCAGGACTATTATGCCTCACAAGGGACAGAACAAAATTCTTGGATAATCTGAAATTTCCGTCCATAACACCTGCTCAGGAGGGTGAGTTGGATCAACCTCTAAAGCCCAGTGAAATAGCTGATTCGATCAGGCTGATCCAGAGTGGCAAGACCCCGGGCCCAGACGGCTATCCAATTGAGTTTTATAAAAAATTGACCGGGGAGCTTTGCCTCAAACTCTCCCTGAGACGGTAGTAGTCGTATTAATAAAACCGAAAAAGAGAAAGCGTTCTTTTGTTGTATTTGGTGGTTTGTGTTCCAGCTGTCGATCAGCAACTATATATCCATAATCCACCAGTTAAAGGAAATACAATGTGTTGTGTTATATTAGCTGTACAATTTACCACATATGGTGTTCTTAGTTTCCATACCTCCTGTGTTTTACGAGCGACTTATCAAGTCTTGGCAAACGGCATAAAACACGATTAAACGTGATAGTATATAAAACCATGCTCGTATCTACAACCTATAGAAATGCAAAACGGCGTCAGTTTAGATGTAATTCTGTCCTCCTGCTTACCGCATCATTTATGAGAAAACATTTCATAACATGAACACAACGTATTCGAGGTGGTTTTAAATAGCATATCCGTATTTATTTATTTCTCCAAGTTATGTTTTTGTGTGCACTGAGGAGTCTCAAACAGGCGTTTGTTTAATCATTTTAAGATTGGCTTTAATCAATGTTTGAAAATGAATTCTTCATATTTGATAAATGAGAGGTAACATTTTATTTATGGTATTATTTCCACATATTTCTCTCCATTCTTCCTTCTGCCAACGGTGTTGCAGTTTCTCGTCTCTCCCGTTGTTGTGCTTAGTGCGTACGCATGGGTTAGAGTTTGCGTGGAGGACCGCACATTTTCCCGTCAAGTTAGTATTTTATAAATCGCAAACATTGCGTAGAAACTGGCGTACGCCATTTTTTGAGCGTATATCCCTTTATAAATGAGGCCCCTGGCCCTCCAGATCCCCGATAGACTCATCCCCTTTAAGATGTCCAGGAGTAATTTTAAGTACTTGGGTGTGAATATATGTAGAAAACTCTCAGATCTTTACAAAAACAACGTCCCACCACCAATTGACAAACTCAAATCTGATTTGGAAAGGTGGAATAATTTACATTTAACTATCGCTGGGAGGGTAAACTGTATCAAAATGAACGTGCTTCCTGTACCTCTTTCAATGTCTGCCAGTCTTCCTACCCAAATCACTTTTTTGTAAAATAGACACACTAATCTCCTCTTTTTCATGGCAAGGGAAGACTCCTAGAAGAGAGAGCTTTTACAAAGGCACAGATCTACGTAGTGAGCTTCCAAACCTAAGACACTATATTGGGCAGCCAATATCCACAAAATAATTTTATGGATTAAGGAACCAACATTGAGTTGAAATCCTCAATAGCACCTAAAGCATCTCTATGGCTTAAAGATCTAATGTTATACCTGAACTTGGAGAAGATTAAATATATCTTCAGAAATGTTTGAATCTGTCTGGGGCTCTGTGATAGCCTACATAGCTGAATTTAAGACACTAAGTTAGGAAGAAAGGGGGGACTATGAATGTATGTTTCTTTGTTTTTGATATACATGTATGTATGTACGTGTATGTATGTGTATGTGTATATGTGTATGTAAATGTGTTGGTATGGGTGTAGGTATGTACATATATATATGTGTATGTGAATATGTGGGTATACATATGTGACCCGCTCTATCGAAATCAGTCGGAAGTCGCAACGGCTCATTTCAAAATAAACGTGGATTTGCGTTAATAAATAGTTTTTTGGGGTTTGGGTGTTTTGTTTCATTTTAAATAAACAAAGTCTTGGCTTTCAGAATATGAGACTTTTATTTCCAAAATCACACGATAAATACATTTGTGAAGCTTGTAAAGGGAAGATGACAGCTCTCCCTCGCCACTCTGCTGTTCCGCAGCGCAGCTCCCCCTCCCTCCGGCTGAAATTATGAATGTAAGCGTATAGTAATCATAGATAACACGGCAGGGTCCGTTACAGTTTGTTTTCATCTGATTTCAAATAAACAAAGTCTTGGCTTTCAGAATATTAAACTTGTTTCGGCAAATTCAGATGATAAATACAACTTTGAAGCTTGTAACGGCATAGTTACAAGCGGAGAACGGAGTAACTTGACGTCACAGCAGGCATAACAACAGCCGGTGTTTCTCGTGACTGTTTTCCCCGGGAAACAAACACAATACACACAAACGCAAAAATACACAAACACACACAAACATACATACACACACACTTGCGAGCTTCCCCCAGACCAGTAATCCAAACGAAAATATTTTCCCTCCGTTACTACTTTGATCATTTGCTCCGCTAATAATCAATCAGATCGATGGATTCCAGAGAAGAGGAAACTTTGAAGGCCTTTTTCTCAAAATGATGACTTGCTGACAGTCATTATATAATGTGACATATTTCGCTTAATATTTGGAGTACAACAACAATCCTGATATCATTAGAGAGCTAGGAATCTCCTCTTTCCAACAGTGTATACAACTCAAAATGTGTCTTCGGGTCAATGCGACTGATTTCGATAGAGCAGAGGCCTGTACTACGAAGCTGGTTCAACCTAACCTGGATTTTTTTTTTTTTTTTATATGTTTTTCAGTTAGCTGGTTGGCCCAATCCAAAACATACGCGCTCTCGCTAAGCTGTACTACGACGCTGGTTATCAAGTGGATCGCTCAAGCCAGCCGTGTCCTATCTAGTTAGGTGCGTGTTCACATGAAAGGGGTGGTATTTGGAGCATTCGACCAATCTCAAAACATGGACAAGCGTACTGACAGCGCAGCGTGTCATACTTCCTGAATGAAAAGTGAACTTTAATATTAGTCAAATATGAAGAAGTTAAACTTTAAACATCCATGACTTAAACACTTTATCCAGGATAAAAGCCACATAGCTGCACCTGCAAGGTGAATACAGCTGGTAAAAGAAAAAGCGTTTGAATGCGTACATTAACAGGTTTATGATATCACTGCCCCGTTAAGACACGAGTGGATCTGACTTTAATTACATTTGACTCGAGTGTTTCGTCAACTTAATGTGTTGCTTAAAATAATACTTCTGCATACAGTATGTGGCACTGTGAGTGTTGCACGGCCAGATACGGCTCAAGAAGCTGACTCAAATAAGGAAATATATGATACATTATGATGTGATGAATGATAATGGGACACATCAACGTCTGCACTCACAGTGCCGCGGACTGTACTTAATGTTACTTTGATCCGGTTACTTAAGTTGTGGCAGATATTTAAGTAAGCTTTCTTAACGCTAATGTTATAATAGTCAGATTGCTCTGAAGATGGGAGGGGATATTCTATTAATTTTCACGTTCACACAGTCAGTTGATTTTTGCCGGCCGTCTTTCCTGCAACGGCAGTTTTTCTGTATTTCCTCTATCCTGTAATATGACTTGATAGCTTTAAATTCCGCACACGGAGCTCTGATTGGTCAGCAGGCTGTGCTTTTACTGAGTTGATCTCTTAGCCTGCAACCTAACCTCCTCCCGAGGAGGTTAGCCGCTCAGCATAAGTTACCATGGAGATCTAGCCCGCTAAAAAGAGAACCAGCGTCGTAGGACCGGAAAGCCCGAGTTTTCCCTGAAGTCAGCCGGCTAAGCGAAAATCCGGCTTCGTAGTACAGGCCTCTGGTCACATATGTGAGTATATGGGTACATGTATTATTGTCATTATTCTTTATTTCCTTATCTATAAAAAAAAACTAAATAATCTTTTACATTACTTTATTTTTCCCTATATATGTATTTATTTATTTACTTTACTAGCTAGGACCGGGAGGGGGGGGGGGAAGGAAAAATATAGACCGTATAAATGTAACTCATTGTGCCTGACTCAATAAAAAAGAAAATGTAAAAAAAAGAAGACATATCTTAACTAAGATAATGCTGATGGGAAGCCCAACTAGCGGGGGACATTCTCACAACTTTGGCTAACATTACCTACAGGTTCTAATAATGTTTTAAAGAAACGTTTTAATCTGATGTTCAAAGAACCTTTTTAGGATATTTATTATTTCAAATAATGTTCCTATAAGGTTTAAGGTTAACTAAGACATAACGTTTTAACTGCGACATTCAGAGGATGTTTTGAGGATGTTATTGAGGCCTGAGATGACAGAAAGTGTTTTATAAAATGTTTCTTTAATGTGATATGTTAACAAAGATGGAACGTTTTGCCTGCAACATTCTAAGGATGTGTTTTGGACGTTGTTGGGTAACACATTAAAGATGTTCTTTATAAAACGTTCCCTCAATGTTACATGATAACAAAAGAAGAACATTTTCCAAGAATGTTTTCAGAAGGTTATTCTTTTTTTATAAAACGTTCCTGTGATGGCAAATATTAACATGGTCATGGTCAACGTCAGATTTATTTCTAGAGCGCTTTAAAAAACAAACTTGTTGCATTTGTTTGAAAAGGATGTTTAAAAAAATCTGATGTCACCACATTTTCCTTTTGAAAAAAACAAACAAGCACGTAATTCATGATAAGCTGTAAGCAGATATTGCATGTTTGCGGTGGCATGTGTGAGTTCCCAGCTAGGCATTTTTGGTTCTCAAAATATTCTGAGAATGTTACCATTCATTGTTCTAGGAATGTTTTCAGCGGGACGTTTTATTTTGGTTCCCAGAATGTTCTTCTGAAAGGTAGGATAACGTTCTCTAAAAACATTCTTAACATTTTTGGTGATAACTTTCTTAAGATGTATGAGCGCATTGAGACAATGAATAGGACGTATAAAAACGAATGTGTTTGTTTCTACTGTGTGTGTCTCTCTCTCCCCCCCCTGCCTGCTGGTCTGCTCTACACGGCTGGGAGCAATCTCCAATCAACCACACCTGCAACCTGCTCATCAGCCACACTATGAAAGCCTGCAGCCTGCACTCATTCCCTGCCGGATTGTTGCCGTGAACGGTTTGTTGCCGTGAACGGTTTGTTGAGTGCCGCTCTAGCTTTTTGCCAGCATATTCTTTAACAACTTTGCCTGCTTTTGCCTAACACTCATTGTGATGTCTCTCCCAGGAGGAATCCAAGGCCTTCCACACCCCCAAGACCAGCCAGGCCTCTCTACCCACCCTGGAACAACTGTTTCCCACTGCCGCCATATTCCTAGAACAGTGAATGGTAACATTCTCAGAATGTTTTTAGAACCAACAATGTCTAGCTGGGAGGTTTAACCTACCTCTATGACAGGTTGATTGACGACCAGAGTTGGGAAATCTGCAATGTTGCCTAGGATTTCCACGATAGTTGATATGGTATTAGGTGACTCTCTTACTTCCTTCTTCACCTCTTTGACATCTTTACTCAGATCCTCCACAAAATCTGGGACATCCTTCACCTGCAACTCCTAAAGTAAATATTAAAAACACATACATTTATATAATGAGAGATTGTAAACCATGAAAAATACAGAGATGTTTCTTTTCTAGCAATAGCTGCACATTTTAAGCCACAAATGTATAGAAGAGGCTAAAAGAATGTGATTGTGTGAGGGATGGCCGTGTGCTTTGATACAGGGTACTACCATTTGGAGACCTATCCCATATTAACTTAAATGTTCTTTGTTTTGAAACATTGTAATAACAAAAATATATATTTTTTAATATTTTATCGGTTTATGTCTTATATATTTATTATGCATAGGAGGAAACCTGGGACTTAAGATTTCCATTGCCAAAACTACACTGTAGCTACTTTGCACATGGCAATAAAGCCTTTGACTGGTTGAATCTTTAGTCTACTTAATCTGAGCCACCACATTTTTGACAAGTGTGTCCATCTTTGTTGAAAAAGTATTATTAGTGTTATTTATGTGAATCCTGAAATTGATGATTTACTAGAGGGGAGGCGTATTACTTTTAAACAGTTACAGCTGATATGCAGTGGTGTAAAGTTACTAAGTACATTTACTCAAGTACTAATTACTGTACTTAATTACCATTTTGAGATACTATTCTTTACATTTGTTGCTACTTTGTACTTGTACTTTTATTTGAGTAACATTTGCAATGCAGGACTTTTACTTGTAGTATTCCTACAGTATGGTATTTCTACTTTTACTTAAGTACAAGATAAGAGTACTTCTTCCCCCTCTGCTGATACGACCTATGATTGTGTGCTGCAGGAGTAGCCAGTAAAAAAAAAAAACATTTCATAACACATCTGCTCTGCATCTGTAACACAGTCATTTTAGCCAAAGCATAAAAATAATGCATGATGCATACAAACAAAATAACCTGCTCTAGGACAAGACTCAAGTAAATAAGAGATATAATGATGAACAATGATCAAAGTCATTATTTAAAATGTAAGCCACAGTAAGCACTTCCACATGAATCCAGGGGTTTGCTCCTAGAATCTGTCAAAAAAAGGATCTGTTAAAGGGGCCCTATAATGCACATTTTCTGCTTCATGTTAGTACGTAGTGTCTCTACTATGTCATGTTATGTAAGTAGGAATAACTTGCAGAAAAGATGTAAAGGATAATCATTGATCAGCAGTAAGTAAGGGGTGGGAATTAATGAGCATTTGCTTCCTCCTGCTCCCTTTCGGACACATATGATTTATTATGAATATTTGTTTGTTGTATATTATGACTACTTTAGTATATTGGAAGGACACTGAAGAGGAATGTTAGCCTTTGCAGACCATATACATGCACCAAAACTAGATAACACATTAAAGGAAAGGGAAACCCTCAAAAAGCATAATAGGGCTCCTTTAAAAATTAAAGAAGTGTTGCTGCAGAGCCACACTTTATCTAAAAACAGTGGTCAGTTAGTTACAATAAGTTACTGGACAGCAGAAGCCGTGATGTAATTTGGTCGAAAACGTGGGCTTTTTACAACAATACAAAATATTATAACAAATTAGCTTGGTACATTTTTTCTCACTTGGAATTGGCGAATTTACTTCAGTTGAAATAAAATAGATACTAAATGAAACTTCTCACAAGGTCAGTGGATTATCTTGAGCAACTGGTAATGATTTCTGCTGTTGAGTTGATTTATAAGAAACCTGACGTTTAGATTTTCTTCATGCTTTTGTTGAACAGATGGTGTCTCAGAGTTGACAGGTGTACTTTGTTAGAAAGAAAATAGTTCCTACATACCATTTTTGCACAACGAGGAATGTCTGGTTACGTAGAACTAGTGAACATAGGACCGTTTTTGAAATAACTTTATGGTATACTGTGTGTTTTATAGATTTAAAATGGGGATTAATTGTTATCCCCAGCTGATCACTTACCTCTGAAGAAACAAGCAACTCATTGATTACTTTGATAACGCAAGTGTCCTCTAACAATCTCCACTCTCCATCATCACACTCCGCAATCTTATCCCCCTCTTGACCTGTAGGACATTCTTTACTAGATTTGTCGCCTTGTCGTCCATCCCCATAATCAGCGTCTGTACATGTAAAAGCTTAGGAGATAAATAATAATCAATTAGTATTACACAAAATATTGGGGAAAAAGACTGCAAACGAAAAGAATAGTCACTTTTGAAACATTGCACTTACATTCTACGAAAATGTTCAATGTTGTTACCCGTCTATATTCGAGATTATCGACCTTACAAGTAAATTCTAGTGACGTTGATCCACCGCATTGTCCTAGCGGTCGTTTATATGTGCGACAGAATTGCTTTCCATTTTCAGTAACACCAGCATCTGCGAACGTTTAACAGTGTTGTTAATAAAATAAACTGTTATTGGATGTGTGTTTTCAGTATGGTCAGATTGAGAAGTTTTCTGAAACATTTTAAACTTACCAAAAGGATTAGGTGAGTCTTTAAACCAGTTCACCTTAAAAGGGGACTGCACACAACACTCAAGTGATTCTGTTTGTCCCTCTGTCCCCAGACATCTAACGTTTATTTGACTCTTTGATTCTATGATGGGAGCTTGTTGGATATAATTTCCAGTCACCTTCTTTTTTTGTATGAACTGCAATACGTCGCCCATCAGAGTGCATTGGTAAAGTCCTGTGATTAAGATAATAAAAACAATGATTACATTAGTTAGCTGTAAACATTTTTAAAAGAATGATACCATTAGTATATTAAATAGTGAAAATTCCAGTATTTGACTATAGCTGTATATTTCCATTATGATACAATGACAGTATGTGTGTTTCTTTTTCAGTCCAACATTGAGATATTGTCCTTTTTTTGCACAGATATGATGGTCCAAGCAGCAAATTAATTTGTCTATCAGCATCAATTCAAATTGTTATTTGACTTATTTTTACCAGCTTTTGCTTACCAATATCCAGAAGAATGGCTTTCTTTATTGTTAGGACAGACCCTGTTATAGGATTTAAAGTTATTGTTCTCCTTCCAAGCTGCTTAATTACCCTTCCACGTAATGTCCACTCAACACTACTTATTTGTCCCACATTAATGTTGCTGGGTTTGCACACCAGTGTCATGCTATTTCCAGTATACTTTGGGGCGGTAAACCCTAATTCATCTTCACCTTTGGAGAAAGAAAAACACATCAGTTTGGTATTTATACAAGTTAAACAAAATGTAATGACCTACTAGCTATGTTGGACTTACTGTTGTACACTGCAATGACAGAGCCAATGACAGGGGCAATATTAGAGTTTACTGCTTCTGAAAATTCTTTATTTGCTTTAGCCAATTCAGCTGTTTTAACCTCTGTAGTCTTAACAACAAAATCAGCAAATATGCTTCCTTCTCTGTAAGAACAAACACAAACAAAATGGTGGTGTCAAATGTGTACAGATTTCCTGCCTCCATATGTCTTAAATGCCAGAATTACCATACCTGAATCCTGTCACAGAAACACCAATAAACCCTGTGATTCCTCCATACTCCGTGTTTAACTGTGGGAGAGATACGGTTCATAACATTACCAATGAAACTGAAAATACAAGTTACAATTTGATATGGTATTTATCAATGCACTTACCACTTCAGTCATGGTGTTTTTAAGATTGTTGTATGCAGAACTTTGTGGATCATTCAATGTGTCTGTGAACGCCTTGTTTAAATTGCACTGTCATTTCCAAATTGAACCCTGTTTATTTGAAAAGAGAATAAAAACAAGATCAAACTATTCAGTTTGTTAGATATGAGAAGAGAGGAGACCATTGTGAATAATTGTTTAATTTGGTTTGCATGACTTGCAGATCCAGGGTATAAAACCCATGTCTCTATAAAATGCAAATATCCTTTTCAGCAACAGTGTTGAGATGTCATGTGGAAGGTAGCAATTAAATAGTCTGACCTATATTCAAGCAGAACTGCAATTTATAATTCATCAATTCATTTTTTAATGAATGACATACGTCCATTTACACCCTGAGGTCAAAGCCCTTTTTTCACGTTTGGCTCGCCTGTGCTTTCTTTGTATGGATGCTTTTAAAAAATGAACCCTGTGCTGCATAATAAAGTAATATCATTTTTTTTTTTTTTAAGACAAGCCATCAGCATATGTAGGCTGCAGGGAAGTCACATACATGTTATCACTAAGAAATATATTCAAAACCCACAGTGAAAAGTAGTTTACAAGACAAGAACAAGAAAATAGTTTATTTCAAGTCTTGGTGACCAAGGGGAAAAGACAAAAATCAATATGTATTTACCAAAAAAAGGTAATGGAGATGTTATAAAGCAATGAGCTACATAGAGCCTCATTTCTACATTTTTGTCAATAAAAAATACCTTTCACAGGAGCAGTGGTCTGTTTTACTGCAGGTGTAGCCTTGGTAGTAGCAGCAGTTGTGAGTGCTGTGGTTGGAGCTGGGGTGGAGGTAACGTCTGATGTCACACTAGTAGTCCTTCTAGAAGCTGAAAACACAAGTACATTTAGTTCAAGTATCTTTAAATGTGAATTGCAAGGTTTGGCAAGAACATTAACAACCCCTTTCAACCATAATTGTAACAATCACTCATAATTATAATATGTAAGAGTTGTAATTATTGTTTAGCGCTTACTTGTCGCAATTGTGGTCAGTGTTGCAGCTGTTGTAGCAGAATATATGAAATTATAAATTGAAGTCATTCTAGTTAACAAAGGGTAATAATGGAAAAACATGTGTATAAAACATATGTCCATTACTCCCTTTCCCAATGTAATTACTGAGCTGTTTCCCCATCACGTATCTCTTAAAAACCTGGTGGTAACAATAGTTGTTGGTTGAGTTATGAGTATTGTAAATATATTTAGTTTAGCTTTCTTTTTTTGGTTACTTTGTTATTTTTAACTGCAATAAAGTATGATCATCTGTTGAGGGAAATACCTTACGTAAAAGTAAATTACAGAAAATGTTCTACAAATAACAACCAGGGATGAGTTATCGAAATGCATATTGCTAAATACAGGTATTGATGGGTGTTGAAAGAGATGTTGGTGTTTGAAAGACTACTTTATAAAAGTGTGTTACTGTTGACAGTATGAGTCGAGTTATTATAGCCTTCATCGCTTGCTTTAAGACATTTAAACTGCACTGAAAGTATGTTTATCTCAAATACAATATACCATGGTGTGACTACATTGTTATAAAGCAAGAAGAAATATTCCTGGATTAGGTTAGGTGTTGCAGTGTTAAGATGTGTTTTGTCAATAGATGTTGGGTAAATTAATCAATTCAATTTAATTAGATTCTGATGACTAAGGATTTCAAATATTCTGATTAAACTTGTTAAAAATGTTAACACTTTTTTTGGATCTGAAAACAGATAAATACAACTTGTACGTTCAGCTCTCCCATTAAGAGGGATGACTTAATAGTTTCAAACAATAGGTTTCCCAGAAGGTTTTTGCCAATACAAAATGTTGAATACATAAATACTGGACAAGCATTTAACATCACTGAAACTTAAAGACTAACTGAATTGTTTTAATAACAGCTTAATAATGATAATAATACATGCTGTAATATTTCTCATTATGTATTATTGCTGTCAAATAAAAAAACGAATTTAGCACCACAAAAAAGACAAAAACATTGACCTGTTACAATTGCTGGTGTTGCCATGGTGAATGTTGTGTTCACACTTGTTGGAGCAAGTGTTGTATCTTAAATAATAATTACATTTTAACATACACATGTTTCACCCAACTTTAATTAAATAACAACTGTCTAGAGATAACAAGGAGATTGAATGTCATGATTGTTTTGAAGCGCTTACATGTCATAAATGTTGTTGCAGCTGTTGTCGTTTTCGCATCTGTTGTACAAAAAGAAAAAAATGGTGTAAGTGAAACCGTGCAAGTAAAGATGCATTAGTGAAAATACACTCAACTTCTTATATTAAAACAACTACTGGTAACTACAGATGTTGGTATTGTTTTGGATGTTGTAGTGTTTGGATGTGTAGTAACCAGAAGCATGTTAAAACTTGCAATGAAAACAAAGATAATTTGACCATACGTTTTTGGTACATATTGATGATAATGTTCTATTGCTGAGAACAGCTGCTAACGTAGAAGAGTAATGTAAACATTTGTATATTTCCCTTACCTGTTGTTGGAGACCTTGTGGTTGTTGGAGACATTGTGGTTGTTGGAGACCTTGTGGTTGTTGGAGACATTGTGGTTGTTGGAGACATTGTGGTTGTTGGAGACCTTGTGGTTGTTGGAGACATTGTGGTTGTTGGAGACCTTGTGGTTGTTGGAGACACTGTGGTTGTTGGAGACATTGTGGTTGTTGGAGACATTGTGGTTGTTGGAGACCTTGTGGTTGTTGGAGACACTGTGGTTGTTGGAGACATTGTGGTTGTTGGAGACATTGTGGTTGTTGGAGACCTTGTGGTTGTTGGAGACATTGTGGTTGTTGGAGACATTGTGGTTGTTGGAGACATTGTGGTTGTTGGAGACATTGTGGTTGTTGGAGACCTTGTGGTTGTTGGAGACCTTGTGGTTGTTGGAGACCTTGTGGTTGTTGGAGACATTGTGGTTGTTGGAGACCTTGTGGTTGTTGGAGACCTTGTGGTTGTTGGAGACCTTGTGGTTGTTGGAGACCTTGTGGTTGTTGGAGACCTTGTGGTTGTTGGAGACATTGTGGTTGTTGGAGACCTTGTGGTTGTTGGAGACCTTGTGGTTGTTGGAGACATTGTGGTTGTTGGAGACCTTGTGGTTGTTATAGACCTTGTGGTTGTTGGAGACATTGTGGTTGTTGGAGACATTGTGGTTGTTGGAGACATTGTGGTTGTTGGAGACCTTGTGGTTGTTGGAGACATTGTGGTTGTTGGAGACCTTGTGGTTGTTGGAGACACTGTGGTTGTTGGAGACATTGTGGTTGTTGGAGACACTGTGGTTGTTGGAGACATTGTGGTTGTTGGAGACCTTGTGGTTGTTGGAGACATTGTGGTTGTTGGAGACCTTGTGGTTGTTGGAGACCTTGTGGTTGTTGGAGACCTTGTGGTTGTTGGAGACATTGTGGTTGTTGGAGACATTGTGGTTGTTATAGACCTTGTGGTTGTTGGAGACATTGTGGTTGTTGTAGTGGTCACAACTGCAGCCATTGTTGAGTCTGAAAAGACCATTTCATAATTATGTTGGTTAAGCTGAACAATACACACCTTAACAAGTCAAGTAGATCATTAGTACATTTAGTTTCAAGAGCAGGGCCAAGCCTTAAAAACAGCAATGATCACCTGTGAACCCTACCAACATATCTGAGCACCGTTTGTCTCGAATTACTCGACGACAGACTTGAATCATGCCCTCAAGTATTATCACAGTCTTTTTGTCACTCCACTATCCTTACCTCAGACTTTGATTCTGTCAAACTATCTACTGGCTGACAGTTGCAGCAAATGCAAGCTAGTAGCCCTCCTTGGTTACATCAATTATGCCATTTGCCATTCCTCAAGCAAAATCCTTCCTGTCCGACCTGCATAAAGCTGCAGCCCTCCCTAACTCTACAATAGAGCTGGAAGATGCATGAAAGATGGAAAAGCGTCTTGGCAAGATTTGTTGTCTTGGAATTGCATCTCCTTCTTCTACAAGCTCTTTATCACCAAACCTGAGGATATTGATCTCGGCTCACAGCTCCCGCTTGTCTTTATCTTTGCTCCATGTGCTAGAAGCCATCTTTATAGCTGTTGTTCTTTGCTGGTCTAGGAAATCCATACTTGTCCACACAGAAAACACACATTGATCCTTCATCTAGATTCTTAAAATATATACATCTTGTTCTTTAGACATCATGCAGCTCCCGCGCAGACTTACTTGAATCTCAGCTCAACACCAGTTCATTCTTTGGGCATCCCACATTTCTGGTTACCACCACATCATTGCTGATTCATTGTATTGTTTCTCTTTACAGAATATCAGACAAGTCCCAGAATCGGATCTCCATCCCATACCAGTCCTACCATTAAACTAGTCACTGGCCAACACTGTCCTTTTACTTCCCATTCCCATGTTCGTGTTGACCAAAGGCTTGCAAAAACAGGCACCTTCTCTTAAAGTTAGACAACTACCACTCATTTCTGACCTTTTCAGCCTTTGCATCTGTTCTCTAAGCTCAGGCTACATGTCCCCCATTGTTGATATAACCTCAAACCATTTTTTCTTACCGAAACAGGAATAATGGCCTAATGCATTGAGAAAAAGTCAACAGCAATTCAAGCATTTCCTTAGAACACTGTTCGAGTTATTTGGATCAAACCCTACAGGTCCTCAGTCACTGTTCATCTCGAGCATATACATTCTTAATAATCTCACCAATCTTCATCATGGACACACTCAACTCAGCTGGATTTAAATAAGCTTGTGTGGAGTTTATACCAATTGAAGCAATGGTTGTTCAGTCTGAAAGAACAATATCATAACCATTGTTTGTTAAGATGAAGAATTCATTTGACAAATCAATTTAGACAATAACCAACAACACAGAAAAGTTATCTAACAATTGTTATTTTGCACTGACTTGTTTTTGCTGACATTGTGGGTGTTGGAGGGTTCACCCCGGTTGTAGTGACTGTTGTTGAGACTAACAACCCAATTTTACAATCATTTTTGTTAAGCTGAAGAATGAATCTGACAAGTCAACTAAGAAAATATCTGCCAACATGGTGAAGTCAGAGAGCAATCGTTTCGTTGCATTTACTTTTTGTTGTTGTCATTGTTTGTGTTGTAGTGTTCACACCTGATGTAGCAACTGCTGATGTGTTTAAAAAAGAGAAGATCCTTGTTTTATTTGTTTGGTAAGAAATCAATCTGACAAGTCAACTAAGACTTTAGCTACCAACATAGTAGTCATATAGAAATAGTTTTTTCTGCACGTAATTGTTGTTGGTGACATTGTTGGTTAGTGTTCACAACTGTTGTAGAAACTGTTGTTGCCCCTTAATATATTGTCCTGCCCCCCAAATAACTCATAAACAGTTTGTTGTAGACTCTTATGAAAGGCATCGTTGCACTCAACAGCGATCCTGTTTATTGGATGATGGTTTCCCCAACCCCTTTCATAACAAATGAACCATGAACCCATTGGCCCGTTCTCATTTCATCAAATTCCCCTCCTCGACTCCTATCCTCGAGACTTAGTCCCGCCCACAGGAGATGCGAGCGGAGGAGCCGAGGAGGGGAGCCGAGGAGAGAGGAGGGGAAGCAGCAGGCGGTTAGAGAAATGAGAACTCCTCTCCTCTGAGCGGTCATTTTAAAGAGACGTCCATTAATGATGACAGGAGGCACAGCAGCACACTGTCTGATGGACAGATGTGTTCATGACGACTTATATATTTACTTTTAATTCATTCACAGTGCGGTATAATGAGACAATAACAGGCTACAGACACACACACACACACACACGTATATATTTATATAAATATATACAATTTCAGAATCAAACAGAGCACTCTCATAATAACGTAACACTATCAGAGACTGGATATCCCCCCCTCTCCCCTCTCTGGTCGCTACAATGAGGGAAATAAATGACGGGCCAAAAGTTTTATTTACAAGTAAGCAGAGGACACTAAACCAACTGAGACCTGTCTGTCCGCTGCATCTACGCACACACTGTACCACACACACCTACACTACACACACGCACCTACAGCTCCTAAAGCATAATCAGGCTACAGCCGTTGTGTATTTTATTATGTGAAGCACTAAATGGTTTTAGAAAAATATTGACTTTGTTTGTAGATATCTACTAAACTAAAGCAAATAAAGAGAGTAGGCCTGTTATACTGAGTGATATATATTATACACACTGCTCTGCTTTCTGCACGGACCTCACAGCTGTTCTCACTGTAAACATCGCGTCGCGATGAAAGCAGTTAATAAAATAATATCCAGGGGATGCATGCAGAGCTGTCATTGGCTGAGATAAGTCCGGCCGTACGTCTCGACTCTTTGAAACATCACTGTTGCCGGAAATGCATCCACGAAGGAGCCGTGGAGGACCCATCAGTGTATCCTCGGTTATAGCTCCTCCAGAGAGCCTCCTTGACGCTCAATGCTCGGTCCTCGAAGTGCATTTAGAGAAATGAGATGTCCTTCAACATGGTGCGCTAAAATTCATTTCCGGGTCACTACCGGAGGACCGAGGAGTCGAGGAGGGGGATTTGATGAAATGAGAACGGGCCCCTGTCGTAGAAAGGGAGTTCCTGTTGCATTAGTAACGATGTGCCCCGCCCCCACACTTTTGTCACGCCCCCTTACATATCATGAACCGTTTGCCGTAGACTGTTGTGGAAAGCATCATTGTACTCAGCAGAGTTCCTATTTCATTGGGGATTACATACTATTACTATTACATGTAATGTCATTACCATAGCGCCATTTTGAGACAATCGCTATTAAACAAGAAGATGTTGTAACTTAAAGATACATTATCCAAACTGCTCAAAAGGAATAAATGAAATACTGTCTTTTAAGTCTTACTTGTTGGTGGTGGAGTTGTTGAAGGAGGAGTTGTTGAAGGTGGAGTTGTTGGTGGTGGAGTTGTTGAAGGTGGAGTTGTTGGTGGTGGAGTGAGTTGTTGAAGGAGGGAGTTGTTTGAAGGAGGAGTTGTTTGAAGAGAGTGTTGAAGGAGAGTTGTTGAAGGAGGAGTTTGTTGAAGCGTTGTTGAGTGGAGTTGTTGAAGGTGGCGTTGTTGTCGGCCGCGTTGTTGCCGGTGCGTTGTTGTCGGTGGCGTTGTTGCCGGTGCGTTTGTTGCCGGCCGCGTTGTTGCCGGCTGCGTTGTTGCCGGCCGCGTTGTTGTCGGCCGCGTTGTTGTCGGCCGCGTTGTTGCCGGCGGTTGTTGCCGGTGCGTTGTTGCCGGCCGCGTTGTTGCCGGCCGCGTTGTTGCCGGCGGCGTTGTTGCCGGTGGCGTTGTTGCCGGCGGCGTTGTTGCCGGCGGCGTTGTTGGTGGTGGCCTTGTTGTCGCCGCGTTGTTGCCGGTGGCGTTGTTGTCGGCGGCGTTGTTGCCGGTGGCGTTGTTGCCGGTGGCGTTGTTGTCGGCCGCGTTGTTGCCGGTGGCGTGTTGTCGGCCGCGTTGTTGTCGGCCGCGTTGTTGCCGGCGGCGTTGTTGCCGGCCGCGTTGTTGCCGGTGGCGTTGTTGCCGGGTGGCGTTGTTGCCGGCCGCGTTGTTGCCGGCGGGTTGTTGCCGGGGTTTTGCCGGGGCGTTGTTGCCGGTGGAGTTGTTGCCGGTGGCGTTGTTGTCGGAGTTGTTGCCGGTGGCGTTGTTGTCGGCCGCGTTGTTGCGGTGGCGTTGTTGTCGGCCGCGTTGTTGTCGGCCGAGTTGTTGTCGGCCGCGTTGTTGCGGCGGCTTGTTGCCGGCCGCGTTGTTGCCGGCGGCGTTGTTGCCGGCGGCGTTGTTGCCGGTGGCGTTGTTGCCGGTGGCGTTGTTGTCGGACGCGTTGTTTGCCGGTGCGTTGTTGTCGGCCGCGTTGTTGCCGTGGCGTTGTTGTCGGTGGCGTTGTTGCCGGTGGCGTTGTTGCCGGCCGCGTTGTTGCCGGCGGCGTTGTTGCCGGTGGCGTTGTTGCCGGTGGACGTTGGTTGCCGGCGGCGTTGTTGCCGGCGGCGTTGTTGGTGGTAGGCCTTGTTGTCGGCCGCGTTGTTTGCCGGTGGCGTTTGTTGGTGGTGGCGTTGTTGCCGGCGGCGTTGTTGCCGGTGGCGTTGTTGAAGGTGGAGTTGTTGAAGGTGGAGTTGTTGAAGGTGGAGTTGTTGTAGCAATACAAGCTGGAATGTCTGTAAAAAGGAGAGAGAGGAGTCACTGCTGAATACAACAATAACAGAGAGTGAACTTAAGAAGATACTAGATTTTATTCTAAGGACTGTACAATGAATGTAGCAAAAACAATAAGCAATATTTATATAATCATGATGCCTATAGACATTCTGTAAAAAGAAAAGAAAACAATACTGAAGCTCATCAGTGGAAGCCATCTTTAACTTTGATAAGAGTGTATTTTATCTCTGTCACAGCAATTGTATAACCTGCAAAATAAATCTTGAAGAAGATGGAGAGAAAGTCTGTTACCATAAATGAACAAAAGTTTACAAGAGAGTTGGGTCATTTACATAATATGTTCATATGTGTTTTATTAACATGATATCCATACTTACTTGTATATCATGACATTTCTAGTTTGGCTTTTTTTTATATTACATTTGAGTAAAATAGAAAATGCAGGCCAGAATGCAGTGATTACTGCAGACCAACTTACTGTTTTGACCAGAAGGCTGGCAGTATTGTCCATCAGGAGGAATGGCATTGATGCATCCACATGTGTCACCAGTGATGTTGTCACAGGATGTATACTGTAAACACTGGTCACATGACCAACGATACTGATCCTCACATCTGCACTGGTAACCAGCACTGCTCGGAGAGCAAACTTGAGACCAAACAAAAACACAATTCATTTTACACATGTAATGACTTTTTCCAACTGTCATATTCATAAAGTGTGTTTTACAACTTTTAGATTCAAACTTTGGGTTGACAACACCAACACATATTTCACATATTTACATCATGTAGACCAATGTAAAATAAGCTTTTATCTGTACCTGTAGAAATGTTTACATCAAGGATTTGTGCATTGTTGAGGATAACGGGGTAACGGATGCTTCTCAGAATGGTACTCAGTTGATTTATTAGAGTGACATCTGTGGTGTTCAACTCAACCACAATGATGTATTCAAAGAGAATAGGAGGAGCTGCAGGGAGAGCATTTCAAAGGGAGTATACAGAAGATGCCTCACTTAAAATGAATATTGTAATGTTGTTTTTTCTAAATGAAATATTGTCCTTTAATTCTTACTTGTTGGTGATGTAGTTGTTGTTGTTGTTGTTGTTTGTTGGAAAAGTTGTGGTGATGGAGTTGTTCTAAGAAGAGTTGTTGGTGATGGAGTTGTTGGTGATGGGGTTGTTGTAAGAAGAGTTTGTTAGTGTTGGAGTTGTTGAAGGAAGAGTTGTTGTGGCGAGTTGTTGAAGGAGGAGTTGTTGGTGGAGGAGTTGTTGAAGGTGGAGTTGTTGGTGGTGGAGTTGTTGGTGGTGGAGTTGTTGAAGGTGGAGTTGTTGAAGGTGGAGTTGTTGGTGGTGGAGTTGTTGAAGGTGAGTTGTTTGAAGGTGGAGTTGTTGAAGGTGGAGTGTTGAAGGAGGAGTTGTTGAATGGGAGTTGTTGAAGGTGGAGGTTGTTGAAGGTGGAGTTGTTGAAGGAGGAGTGTTGAAGGAGGAGTTGTTTGAAGGTGGCGTTGTTGAAGGTGGAGTTGTTGCAAGGTGGAGTGTTGAAGGTGGAGTTGTTGAAGGTGGAGTTGTTGAAGGGAGGAGTTGTTGGAAGGTGGAGTTGTTGAAGGTGGATGTTTGTAGCAATACAAGCTGGAATGTCTGTAAAAAGGAAGAGAGAGGAGTCACTGCTGAATAGAACAATAACAGAGAGTGAAACTTAAGAAGATACTAGATTTTATTCTAGGACTGTACAATGAATGTAGCAAAAACAATAAGCAATATTTATATAATCATGATGCCTATAGACATTCTGTAAAAAGAAAAGAAAACAATACTGAAGTTCATCAGTGGAAGCCATCTTTAACTTTGATAAGAGTGTATTTTATCTCTGTCACAGCAATTGTATAACCTGCAAAATAAATCTTGAAGAAGATGGAGAGAAAGTCTGTTACCATAAATCAGGGGTCGGCAACCCCTGGCACGCGTGCCACCATTGGCATGCGGCACCGTAACCAGTGGCACACTAGGAATAAGTGGAATAAGTGTGCAAAATATGAAAAAATTATTTTCGGATCCTGAACGAGACCGCCGCCAGCGCGCGTCTCCCCGTTACCTGCAGAAGGAAGCCATGCACGCAACGCAGCCCCGCTCTCTTTAACTCCAGGCGACTTTCTGCCGCTTTCCTCCGTGGTGCAGTGCTGATCATTTCACCACGGAGGAAAGCACTTCACAAATTGCAGTACCCATAAGGAGCTGTACAAATGCCCCAGTTTTTGCGTGGCTGTGTCTTTAGTTGAAAGCCCAGTGGCGATCTGCTCATCTCTCATCGAAATAATATGCTACACTGGGGCGGACTGGCCATCTGTGTGTTCTGGAGAATCACAGAACGGACGATCGTCCTTATTATTATGCAGTTTAAACCAATTATTTAAATGTGTTTGTTAAATTCGGCATCATGTAAGTTGCGCTGACAGGTCCACACACTGCTTCCCCGCAGCGAGGCTCCCCCCGCCCTCCTGTTGAGAGTTCACAAGCGTCGAGCTCCGCACCCCCCCCCCCCCTTCCCCCGTTGATAATTCACGATCGTCGGCACGCTGATAACGAATTTTTTTTGTAATGGTACTTCATATCAAAAAGGTTGCCGACCCCTGCCATAAATGAACAAAAGTTTACAAGAGAGTTGGGTCATTTACATAATATGTTCATATGTGTTTTATTAACATGATATCCATACTTACTTGTATATCATGACATTTATAGTTTGACTTTTTTTATATTACATTTGAGTAAAATAGAAAATGCAGGCCAGAATGCAGTGATTACTGCAGACCAACTTACTGTTTTGACCAGAAGGCTGGCAGTATTGTCCATCAGGAGGAATGGCATTGATGCATCCACATGTGTCACCAGTGATGTTGTCACAGGATGTATACTGTAAACACTGGTCACATGACCAACGATACTGATCCTCACATCTGCACTGGTAACCAGCACTGCTCGGAGAGCAAACTTGAGACCAAACAAAAACACAATTCATTTTACACATGTAATGACTTTTTCCAACTGTCATATTCATAAAGTGTGTTTTACAACTTTTAGATTCAAACTTTGGGTTGACAACACCAACACATATTTCACATATTTACATCATGTAGACCAATGTAAAATAAGCTTTTATCTGTACCTGTAGAAATGTTTACATCAAGGATTTGTGCGTTGTTGAGGATAACGGGGTAACGGATGCTTCTCAGAATGGTACTCAGTTGATTTATTAGAGTGACATCTGTGGTGTTCAACTCAACCACAATGATGTATTCAAAGAGAATAGGAGGAGCTGCAGGGAGAGCATTTCAAAGGGAGTATACAGAAGATGCCTCACTTAAAATGAATATTGTAATGTTGTTTTTTCTAAATGAAATATTGTCCTTTAATTCTTACTTGTTGGTGATGTAGTTGTTGTTGTTGTTGTTGTTGTTGGAAGAGTTGTTGGTGATGGAGTTGTTCTAAGAAGAGTTGTTGGTGATGGAGTTGTTGGTGATGGGGTTGTTGTAAGAAGAGTTGTTAGTGTTGGAGTTGTTGAAGGAAGAGTTGTTGGTGGCGGAGTTGTTGAAGGAGTAGTTGTTGGTGGAGGAGTTGTTGAAGGTGGAGTTGTTGGTGGTGGAGTTGTTGAAGGTGGAGTTGTTGGTGGTGGAGTTTGTTGAAGGTGGAGTTGTTGGTGTTGGAGTTGTTGAAGGGTGGAGTTGTTGAAGGTGGAGTTGTTGAAGGTGGAGTTGTTGAAGGAGGAGTTGTTGAATGTGGAGTTGTTGAAGGTGGAGTTGTTGAAGGTGGAGTTGTTGAAGGAGGAGTTGTTGAAGGTGGAGTTGTTGAAGGTGGAGTTGTTGTAGCAATACAAGCTGGAATGTCTGTAAAAAGGAAGAGAGAGGAGTCACTGCTGAATAGAACAATAACAGAGAGTGAAACTTAAGAGATACTAGATTTTATTCTAGGACTGTACAATGAAGTGTAGCAAAAACAATAAGCAATATTTATATAATCATGATGCCTATAGACATTCTGTAAAAAGAAAGAAAACATACTGAAGTTCATCAGTGGAAGCCATCTTTAACTTTGATAAGAGTGTATTTATCTCTGTCACAGCAATTGTATAACCTGCAAAATAAATCTTGAAGAAGATGGAGAGAAAGTCTGTTACCATAAATCAGGGGTCGGCAACCCCTGGCAACGCGTGCCACCATTGGCATGCGGCACCGTAACCAGTGGCACACTAGGAATAAGTGGAATAAGTGTGCAAAATATGAAAAAATTATTTTCGGATCCTGAACGAGACCGCCGCCAGCGCGCGTCTCCCCGTTACCTGCAGAAGGAAGCCATGCACGCAACGCAGCCCCGCTCTCTTTAACTCCAGGCGACTTTCTGCCGCTTTCCTCCGTGGTGCAGTGCTGATCATTTCACCACGGAGGAAAGCACTTCACAAATTGCAGTACCCATAGGAGCTGTACAAATGCCCCAGTTTTTGCGTGGCTGTGTCTTTAGTTGAAAGCCCAGTGGCGATCTGCTCATCTCTCATCGAAATAATATGCTACACTGGGGCGGACTGGCCATCTGTGTGTTCTGGAGAATCACAGAACGGACGATCGTCCTTATTATTATGCAGTTTAAAACCAATTATTTAAATGTGTTTGTTAAATTCGGCATCATGTAAGTTGCGCTGACAGGTCCACACACTGCTTCCCCGCAGCGAGGCTCCCCCCGCCCTCCTGTTGAGAGTTCACAAGCGTCGAGCTCCGCACCCCCCCCCCCCCTTCCCCCGTTGATAATTCACGATCGTCGGCACGCTGATAACGATTTTTTTTTGTAATGGTACTTCATATCAAAAAGGTTGCCGACCCCTGCCATAAATGAACAAAAGTTTACAAGAGAGTTGGGTCATTTACATAATATGTTCATATGTGTTTTATTAACATGATATCCATACTTACTTGTATATCATGACATTTCTAGTTTGACTTTTTTTTATATTACATTTGAGTAAAATAGAAAATGCAGGCCAGAATGCAGTGATTACTGCAGACCAACTTACTGTTTTGACCAGAAGGCTGGCAGTATTGTCCATCAGGAGGAATGGCATTGATGCATCCACATGTGTCCCCAGTGATGTTGTCACAGGATGTATACTGTAAACACTGGTCACATGACCAACGATACTGATCCTCACATCTGCACTGGTAACCAGCACTGCTCGGAGAGCAAACTGGAGACCAAACAAAAACACAATTCATTTTACACATGTAATGACTTTTTCCAACTGTCATATTCATAAAGTGTGTTTTACAACTTTTAGATTCAAACTTTGGGTTGACAACACCAACACATATTTCACATATTTACATCATGTAAACCAATGTAAAATAAGCTTTTATCTGTACCTGTAGAAATGTTTACATCAAGGATTTGTGCGTTGTTGAGGATAACGGGGTAACGGATGCTTCTCAGAATGGTACTCAGTTGATTTATTAGAGTGACATCTGTGGTGTTCAACTCAACCAAAATGATGTATTCAAAGAGAATAGGAGGAGCTGCAGGGAGAGCATTTCAAAGGGAGTATACAGAAGATGCCTCACTTAAAATGAATATTGTAATGTTGTTTTTTCTAAATGAAATATTGTCCTTTAAGTCTTACTTGTTGGTGATGTAGTTGTTGTTGTTGTTGGAAGAGTTGTTGGTGATGGAGTTGTTGAAGGAAGAGTTGTTGGTGATGGAGTTGTTGAAGGAAGAGTTGTTGAAGGAAGAGTTGTTGGTGATGGAGTTGTTGAAGGAAGAGTTGTTGGTGATGGAGTTGTTGGTGATGGAGTTGTTGTAGGAAGAGTTGTTTGATGGATGTTGTTGTAGGAAGTTGTTGGTGCTGGAGTTGTTGTTGGTGATGGAGTTGTTGTGTAGGTGTTGTGTTGGTGCTGTGTTGTTGTGGAAGAGTTTGTTGGTGATGGAGTTGTTGTAGGAAGAGTTGTTGGTGATGGAGTTGTTGGTGATGGAGTTGTTGTAGGAAGAGTTGTTGGTGATGGAGTTGTTGTAGGAAGAGTTGTTGGTGATGATTTTGTAAGACGACAAAGGGTAAAGTCTGTAAGAAGTAAAGAGAGAGGAGTTCTTAGTTGATTGCTTCTGTATATGATAAGATGCATATTTTAAGAACTAGAGCTATCTGAATTGTTTGAATTCCCCATACTGTACGATTAATGTGACCCAAAGTGAATTTTCATATTAGTTTGAGAAAAAAGTTGAATATCATAATTGGGAACAAAAATCACTTTTGGTCATCATAAGTGACCCTAATCCTTTTTTACGTACATTTGAGTTAAAAACAATAAAATACAATTATAGATTCTCTACAACATATGGCAGTGTTTCCAAAGTTGTCCTTCTGACTCAGGCCAGCTCCTGTCTTTCGACAACCCAAAAGCAAGCAATTACATAGTGAGACACAGGGATTGTCATGCAATTAAGGATAAAGATTTTGAAAATAAGGCACATCAAATGCTGGCAAGAATGCAGTGATTACTGCAGACCAACTTACTGTTTTGACCAGAAGGCTGGCAGTATTGTCCATCAGGAGGAATGGCATTGATGCATCCACATGTGTCACCAGTGATGTTGTCACAGGATGTATACTGTAAACACTGGTCACATGACCAACGATACTGATCCTCACATCTGCACTGGTAACCAGCACTGCTCGGAGAGCAAACTTGAGACCAAACAAAAACACAATTCATTTTACACATGTAATGACTTTTTCCAACTGTCATATTCATAAAGTGTGTTTTACAACTTTTAGATTCAAACTTTGGGTTGACAACACCAACACATATTTCACATATTTACATCATGTAGACCAATGTAAAATAAGCTTTTATCTGTACCTGTAGAAATGTTTACATCAAGGATTTGTGCGTTGTTGAGGATAACGGGGTAACGGATGCTTCTCAGAATGGTACTCAGTTGATTTATTAGAGTGACATCTGTGGTGTTCAACTCAACCACAATGATGTATTCAAAGAGAATAGGAGGAGCTGCAGGGAGAGCATTTTAAAGAAAAACAAATACAGTTGATGTCTCACTTGTAAATAATATTATCATTTGGTTTTTGTTTTATAAAATACTGTCCTTTAAGTCTTACTTGTTGGTGATGGAGTTGTAAGAAGAGTTGTTGGTGATGGAGTTGTAAGAAGAGTTGTTGGTGATGGAGTTGTAAGAAGAGTTGTTGGTGATGGAGTTGTTGGTGATGGAGTTGTTGTAGGAAGAGTTGTTGGTGATGGAGTTGTTGTAGGAAGAGTTGTTGGTGATGGAGTTGTTGTTGGTGATGGAGTTGTTGTAGGAAGAGTTGTTGGTGATGGAGTTGTTGTAGGAAGAGTTGTTGAAGGAAGAGTTGTTGGTGATGGAGTTGTTGAAGGAAGAGTTGTTGGTGATGGAGTTGTTGGTGATGGAGTTTGTTGTAGGAAGTTGTTGGTGATGGAGTTGTTTGTAGGAAGAGTTGTTGGTGATTTAGTTTTTATGGAGTTGTTGTAAAGAGTTGTGATGGAGTTTTGTAGGAAGAGTTGTTATATTTGTTGTTAGTTGTTGTATGGAGTTTTGGTGATGGAGTTGTTGTAAGAGTTGTTGGTGATGGAGTTGTTGTAGGAAGAGTTGTTGGTGATGGAGTTGTTGTAAGACGACAAAGGGTAAAGTCTGTAAGAAGTAAAAGAGAGAGGAGTTCTTAGTTGATTGCTTCTGTATATGATAAGATGCATATTTTAAGAACTAGAGCTATCTGAATTGTTTGAATTCCCCATACTGTACGATTAATGTGACCCAAAGTGAATTTTCATATTAGTTTGAGAAAAAAGTTGAATATCATAATTGGGAACAAAAATCACTTTTGGTCATCATAAGTGACCCTAATCCTTTTTTACGTACATTTGAGTTAAAAACAATAAAATACAATTATAGATTCTCTACAACATATGGCAGTGTTTCCAAAGTTGTCCTTCTGACTCAGGCCAGCTCCTGTCTTTCGACAAACCCAAAAGCAAGCAATTACATAGTGAGACACAGGGATTGTCATGCAATTAAGGATAAAGATTTTGAAAATAAGGCACATCAAATGCTGGCAAGAATGCAGTGATTACTGCAGACCAACTTACTGTTTTGACCAGAAGGCTGGCAGTATTGTCCATCAGGAGGAATGGCATTGATGCATCCACATGTGTCACCAGTGATGTTGTCACAGGATGTATACTGTAAACACTGGTCACATGACCAACGATACTGATCCTCACATCTGCACTGGTAACCAGCACTGCTCGGAGAGCAAACTTGAGACCAAACAAAAACACAATTCATTTTACACATGTAATGACTTTTTCCAACTGTCATATTCATAAAGTGTGTTTTACAACTTTTAGATTCAAACTTTGGGTTGACAACACCAACACATATTTCACATATTTACATCATGTAGACCAATGTAAAATAAGCTTTTATCTGTACCTGTAGAAATGTTTACATCAAGGATTTGTGCGTTGTTGAGGATAACGGGGTAACGGATGCTTCTCAGAATGGTACTCAGTTGATTTATTAGAGTGACATCTGTGGTGTTCAACTCAACCACAATGATGTATTCAAAGAGAATAGGAGGAGCTGCAGGGAGAGCATTTTAAAGAAAAACAAATACAGTTGATGTCTCACTTGTAAATAATATTATCATTTGGTTTTTGTTTTATAAAATACTGTCCTTTAAGTCTTACTTGTTGGTGATGGAGTTGTAAGAAGAGTTGTTGGTGATGGAGTTGTAAGAAGAGTTGTTGGTGATGGAGTTGTAAGAAGAGTTGTTGGTGATGGAGTTGTTATAAGAGGACAAGCTGTAACATCTGTAAGAAGTCAAAGAGAGGAGTTCCTTGGTAATTGCTTCTCTTTGTTATACGATGCATATTTTAAGAGCTTGAAAAAGGGCTATCAGAATATAAAAAGATGATATACTGTACAATAAATGTGACCAAAATAATTAGTGATAATGATATCATGATACCAATAGACATTTAAAAACAGAAATATAACAATATTAAGCTTTAGTGGAATCTATCTTTACATTTGATTATTGTGCGTTTTATCTGTTTTACTACTAATGAAAATAGATATACTAGAAAGATAAAGAAAAGTCTGTTCCCATAACCAAAGTGAAAAAGAAAAATGATGGATTGTTTACATGACATTATCATTTGTGTTTATTATATAACCAGTACATTTGAATATCACTCACTTCATTTTCTGGATATAACAATTTAAATGAATGGAGTCCTCTTACATTCGAAGAGGACTAGGGCCACAAATGAATTACATTTTTTAGATCTGACCAAAACTGCATTTAATAATATATAAGAATAGTGACTTTAATCGCAGTGATGTTGTCACAGGATGTATACTTTAAACACTGGTCACATGACCAACGATACTGATCCTCACATCTGCACTGAGGACAAGCTGTTAAATCTGTCACATGGGAGAGAAAGTGGAGTTGCTGCTGAGTAGAAACAACTATAAAGGGTGAGACTAATAAGATAGTTACTACTGTATATTGTCACACGCACATTTTAAAAGCTTGAATTAGGGCTGTCACAACTTTCACAATTAAAAAAAAGAAAAAGAATGCTGAATTATTTACATCATATTATAATGTGGTTTATTAACATGATATACATACTTACTTATATGTCGTGACATCGCTAGTTTGAACAAAACTTACTATATATTTCTGAATATTATATTTAAAAGTCATCTTACATTTTTACATCTTACTATTGTGGTTTTCCCTTTCCTGTATTGTGTTCTATAGGTTTGTGTGCATGTAAATGGCCTGCAAAGGCTAAAATCCCTGTGTTCCCTCCAGAAGGAGTCTCTTCCCACACACTCCCTCCCTACCTGAAACGCCTCCATTGGACTCCTTTGTTTGCTTCAGTAACATAGTGACATCACTATGTAACACTTGTGCTTCTATAGGCTAGCGTTCTTATACATTGTCCGTAAAAGGCTAAGGGGCGGGACATTTCCGACACATCTCTAAGCGCCTGACCAATCACAAAGACGACCAGCTAACCAATCAGAGCAGACTGGGCTCTGGTTTCAGACAGAGGGTGAAAAGAGGTGCTGCAGCACAGGCAGTATGAGAAAAATAAAGAGCTTTTTGAACATTAAAGCATGGAGACATGTCACAGGAGAGGCAGAAAATAGAAATATGATCCTAAAAGTAAACAAACCTGAAAACCAACTTACTGTATTGATCAGCAGGCTGGCAGTATTGTCCATCAGGAGGAATGGCATTGATGCATCCACATGTGTTGCTTGTATTACCATCACATTTCCCATAGGTGTCACACTTATCACACGGCCAAAGATAGTCATTTTCACAGCGGCACTGAAACCCAGTGTTATCTTGGCTGCAAACTTTAAAGAGAATAACATATTTTCTCTTGTGAAAAAGGCAGAAGTTTGAAATAGATATTAAAAAAGGATATCATGCATTTGTTCTTACCTGTGGTGATATTGGCATCTAATATGTTAACTGAGGAGCTGATCTGGACAGGAAAAGGAAGACTGTTCAGGACGTTTCTCAGCTGATCCGCATCGCTGGTATTCACCTCGATAATAATCTGGTATTCATAAAATACTAAAGGTACTGTAGAAAAAGAGAGTCGAATTAGAGACAATTATTTGCAAGTAATTTGTTCCAAATCTAGGTCATGTCATGACATGACTCAGGCAAAATTGCTGAGTGAAGATTGTGAAATTCAATTATGGTCAAGAATAGATATTCATATTTCTCGCATCCTCATTCTTTTCATCTTGTCATATTGTTTGATATTTTCTGTTTGCTCATTTAGATTTGCTCATGTAAATGTAATACGAGGTCACCTTGAAAGGACACAAATACTTTTTTTAAATAACCAAATACAGATTACAGTGCCGAAAAAAATAACAGTAAATATTATATCCATATGTGTGATGTTACTTTAAATGTAAAAGTGTATCACCTGTCTGTGGCACGCAGTATTGTCCATTGGTAGGAATACTGTTGATACACCCACACGTGTTGTCAATGATGTCATCACAGGCTCCATATGTATTACAGTTGCTTAATGACCACACATACTGTTCCTCACATCTGCACTGGAAGTTTGTACCATTTGGGTAACAAACTACATAAAAACAAACAATTAAACAGACATTATAATCAGTTATAATGCTTTGTAGCTTACCACAACTCAAAGTTCCTCTGCCTTACATGTCAAGATGTATCCATTCACACACATTTATAAACTGATAGCAGGGTTAACAAGTTGACAAACTGGACTCATGAGGATCTATCTCATGCTTATTTCCACACTTTCTGCTGTGCCTTGGGAGATACTTTGCTATGGTATCTTTGCCCAATGACACTCCAACGCAGACTGAAGGAGCAGGACCATTGATCTTCGGATTAGTTGACGACCAACTTTACATCCTGAGCCACAGCCAACCACTTAAATGAATAACTGCCTTCTGTGTTGTGCATGGCTCCAAATTGTTGCCAAGCGATGCATTCCAAGTTGAAATTATTATATCAGATGACAGCTGTATGTAGCGGCACAAGCCAGCACGGAAGGTAACCATACTGGCTGTGTTCACTGCAAGGCTCTGTGCCCAACCACGTGGTGAGAAAAGAGCAGATTTACTTCCCCTGCTAGCCTAGTACAGCTGGCATCTGATTGGTTGCGAAGGTCAGCGTTAAACAAGGTCGAAGTTGAAATTATTTGACCTTTGAACGCCGTGCTTGGTGACAATTTTGAGTGATGTGCGACGCCAATAGAAGCGCTTCCGCCTAGTCGGGCAGCACTGCTCTCTCCAAAAGATACACAACTGCAACGTGAGTGCAGAGCCGTTTTGACGTGTATCATGTGAATGCAGCTTAATGGTCAGAAAGATGTCCCATTGGACCAATATGTCCAACAGCACATTACCCCCAAAAAACAACCACCTATTGTTTGAAGGCCCCTTCGCTCCAAAGATAAACCCTCCCTGCGCAACAAACAGAAGCAAATAGATTATTGTTATGCAGACTGATGGACCTTCATGATATTTTTCCTGTTGGGAAAGGCATGACCTGCTCTCCTCTACCCTTTGCCATAGTAAACTTGCCAACATAAAAACACTTTCGGCAGGCACAATCTGATTACACCATTCTGCCTAATAATTAGCCATGTACTTCTGCTCCTTGGACTGGGACTAGGTGTTTGGTTTCTAGGTGCTGGATGAATAGGATTTAGGTCCAATGGGACATATTTTAGATTATATTGTGTTGAGAAGTAATGGTCTGTTCAAACATGCATTACTCTGGACCAGAGGTTGCGGTAGACTTTTTCGCTGCCCGTCATTTTGACGGACAGGATCGTACAATTTCCGTCAAAATCCATTATTCCCCGTCGGTCTGTACACCTCGCGGGAGCGCGCCACAGCGTAAAGCACTGCGGCACACAATTCAAGATAAAGATACCCTTATTACTTATCGTAGCTGCACATACAATATAGCCGATTAAAGCTGAGACTCCACTGATTATTTAAGTATAGTATCATCACTGAGCGATCCGAACTTGCGACAGGGGAAGCAAACACAGACATCACAACACGTACCTTTACGGAGCTTTTACGGCAGATCGTCTCACCGTAGCTGTCAATTAGGTCAAAAGACGCGTTCAATGGCATTAAAACGAAAAAAAAAGTGGGGTTTTTTGGCAAAATCTCTCTAAAAAGGTCAAATTTCACTTGTTTTGCATCAATCTTGATACAGGGTACTTATTATATGTTGTACTTTGGATTCCTAAAGCTTTTAGTCTACTAACCCATCATCCAAGGGTAGTTTTCACTATAAGTAAAAAATAATATTTGGACGGACACTATAATTTACAGTTTTTTACTATGTAAAATCTGAATTTTCTTTAAAATAAAAAACATCTATATTGATTCTGACTTTTCTACATCCAACTCACAGGTTTATCATTACTTTGAGAATAAAGATTATTAATTTAACCCTTTTAGAAGGGAAGATATGGTCATTTGTTCTGGGAATGTCATTTTCGAGCCTGAGACCTGAAAAACAGGCTCAGGGCTTAAGAGGTTAAAGGGGACCTATCATGCAAAATGCACTTTTGTACGTCTTTATACATGAATATGTGTCCCCGGTGTTCCAGGGAACTCACCAAGTGTCAGAAAACACAACCCTCTCTATTTTCCTCCATACCCAAATCTCTAAAAAAGGGGCTGCAACGGAGCTGATAAAAACTGATCCAGATTTGAACACTGTCCTGACGTCAGGACGGTGGCGCTACGGCTATTGGGCCAACTCCACCAATCAGGAGGAGACAGCCACAGCCATTGCCGTTCGAAAGCGCTGGAGACGCTGTAGTACATATGCCAGGCCTGTAAGTGGCGCTGTAGTCTGCCACAAAAGCAGCGAAGAATACTTCCCGCCCATAGTTACCATGGTTACCCTTTTGTTTATTCTCCGCTGTGGCTTTCTTTCTCCCTCCCCGAGGCAAGCGCTTGCTCCCGCTGCAATGCAATCCCTCCCCGTCGAGGCAAGCACTGTAATTCTCTCCGGTTAGTCCACCAGCAGATGACAAACACCCACCTCTCCGCCTCTTCCAAGGAACGAGGGGACCGTGCGGCAGAGTTTCAGTTTCAGTTTGTTTCGCCGGTCAAGATGTCCGTTAAAGTTTAAATCTTCCGGACAAAATGGTCTTGCCGGTCAAAGGTCTTCTTTGTTATTTATTGAGCTTTAAAACAAATGAATAACAACTCTATATAATAAAACACGAGGACGGAGATCTCTTTTTCTCCCCCTCTTCTGACAGCCCAGCAGCTGATCAGAGCACGGCTCACCTCTCCTGCAGGGGGGCGTGGTCAGCAGAATCAGACCCGTAGACAGCAAACAGCACATAGAGCGAAATGAGGCATGGCTAAAATGCATGATCTGTTTGGTATTTTGTAAACAGAAACGTATAAATATACCTTATATAGGTATGGCCCTACAATATATCATTTAAATATAGCATGATAGGTTTCCTTTAAATAACTCAGACGAAGCTCATGTCTGAGGTCGGAAGGTAAACAGACGCCTCATATACAGCAGGTGGGTCGTGGCAGTATACGCGGGAGATTTTTCTTCTTCTTCTTCTCTCGGTTTTTTGGCGGATTGCAACTTTAAGGTGCATACCGCCACCTACTGTACTCGCCGTGAAGTTGTTTGCAGCCTGCCAGTAAACCCAAAGCAGAAGAAGAAGAAGTGACGTCAGCGGCTTCATTTGCCTAATCCACCCCCAGGAACTCATTTTGGTGTGAACGCGATCTGCTTTAGTTCATGAGAACTAAAAGAGTTCTCATGAACTATTGTGGGGAAAGTACTTGGTGTGAACGCGCCTAATGAGAAGGGAAAGTCCCAATTTTAGAGGACGAATGTATAATATAAAATAAAGTGTGTTTAAACAAAAATAGTTTAGTGATATGAAGGTCAAGAGAGCATATTCTCGCATTGCACTTTGTCCACAGTTAATAAGTGAGCCATTACTCCGTAAACACTTGAAAGAAAATAGAATTGATTGAATTGAATGTATCACATGGTCAAATGTGGGAAAAATGACACAGTTCACTTTAATACCCAGGCGCCCTTTGTCTTGTCTAACAACATTTTCCCCCCATGCTTTTACCACCATGCTTACCTGTGGTGATGGTAATGTGTGTGACGTTCACAGTTGGACCCAAGGCTAGGGAAAAGCCACCGGCATCCAGGATGCTTCTAAGGACGTCCACGGTCCCAATATCAGTAAAATTCAGCTCAACATCCACATCGTACTCAACCTGAGCCAGAAGCCCTGTAGTAAAAAACAACATGATTTAGGGTCTCTTTTGGTTAAAGGACATATCAATGTAGAGAAATCACTCAAATTAAGCTGTAGTAATTTAAAGTAATACGTAAAGGTAGGGTAGGTAAGTTTGAGAAACCGGCTCGAGATACACTTTTTGTTATATTCCATGGAATGCTCTTAACATCCCGATAGCAATGAATATCTTAAGTGCTTTGACAAAAAATCCATAAAAAAATGTCATCTGTGGAAGCCTTAGTACTGTAAAAAGCACGACCAATCATTTTAGCCGGCCCGGCTAAAATAACTGGATGGCCTACCTGCCTGTCAGCCTTCCATCTGTGCACAAATTTATATCGTGCCCTCATTGGTCATGTGCGCGTTTGTGTGTGTTGGAGGAGGGGCTCTATAAGGAAGTGGCAGATTTTCTCCGGTTGTGTATTTTCAAATTCTAGCGATCTCGAGCCGGTTTCTCAAACTTACCTACCCTACCTTTAAGTGTTTTATCTTAGAGCTAATGGTCTATTAATGATCACTCTCTAAATATAAAATAACTTTACTGAGCAGTTAACCCAGGGATGGGCAAACTTTTTGGCTCGGGGGCCACTATGAGTTTTAACATTTGACAGACGGGGCCGGGCCAGTAGCAGATCGGTAACAAAATATTTAGCTGTCCACTCCTCATTATACACTCGGCAAAGGTAAATTGTGTCTAGAGTGCGCCATCTAGTGGGATCAACTGAAATGCCGGGTATTGCAGGAAAAAGGCAAAATGAATGCGGTCTTTACTATCATTTGGACAATTTTGTACCAATATTCGGTGGGCCGGATTCAAAAGCCCAACGGGCCGTAGTTTGCCCATGCCTGAGTTAACAGAGCCAGCCAGCTAACCAATCAGAGCAGACTGGGCTCTGGTTTCAGACAGAGGGTGAAAAGAGGTGCTGCAGCACAGGCAGTATGAGAAAAATAAAGAGCTTTTTGAACATTAACCTGTTAAGCCCGAGAGACCCCGGTACCGGGGCACTGCCGCAACATCTTGCAGGAAACAGTGTCTGAGGGCATGTTCATTTAATAAAACTATGAATGTTTTATATCCATGTAACGGGAAGAAACTCATCTAACTGATCATTTTTTTTTTTTTTTAAAAGAAAACCCACAATGCTAACACTGAGCCTCTGAATTAGCATGAGCGAAAAATGCACCTTACTGCACCAAAAATCACTCACAAAACCTTATTATTTATCTTTTCACCACATCCAACACATCGATTCACATCGTGAGGTGACACATAATCTATTGACACCGACATTACCACTGAATTATACGTATTTGCGACGTTATAAGCAAAAACGGACATCAAAACAGGTGACGCTAGGTAGCTAAAAATGCTAACATTTTTACCTTGGCTCTGTAGTCTCTCCAAAGTGGTCTTCAATGGCATTAAAACGATAAAAACGCTGCTGAAGTTAATCCATAGGTTAATCTAATGTGTCTGTGTCCCTTTGAAATGATTTCTGATAATCCATAAACATTAAAGGGCCCATGTCATGGCCATTTCCACTGATCATAATTACATTGTTGAGGTATACTAAAATAGATTTATACTGTGCAATTTTCCAAACTCACATTGGTTTCGCATACAGCATCTCTGTAAAGTATGTGTATTCAGCAGTATTCACTCTCTCCACTAAACGACTCATTGGAGCTCTTGCCCCCCCCTCCCTGTGAGCCTAGTGTGCTCCGATTGGTCAGCTCGGCCACTCTGTTCTGATTAGTCAACCACCAGAGAGGCTCCGCCCATGTCTAACAGTGCTTTTTTCGGCTCGCTCTCGGAACATCAGTCTTATAATGGCGTCGGTACAGCCGTATATATATTATACGCTAACTAACCGAACTGTACCTACAAATGTTGTTATAGAAGAGTAAGTTATTTTTACCTGTAATAAACTACTACTGTTTGATGAGAAATCAAATCATGGTTTGCTATATATGAATGATATGTTATAGGAGCAAATAATTCAGGGAAGAAAGGATAGGCCTACTAAGTATTTCCATCAAACTTTATTTTTAGAAATGTACAAAATGAACATGCGTAAATATACATATATACACTGTATATCATCCATTCCTCCCCTTATAGGCGTTTTCGGCATCTTGCCTATCGCAGCTTTGTAAGCGGCTGCCGGGGCTTTTTAGGACGAGGCATCAGAGTGGGTCATCCCGTGTGTGTGTTACGCCAGGAGTTTCCTGATCTGGCTGGACGAAATCAAATGCAAATCACAAAATATTAGAGAAACTTAGTTGTTTTAGATTTGTTAGTAGTAGTTGTGGTAGGAGTGTGGATCTATCTAATCAACACAGTAAGCTTGCCAGCTAATATGCTAACCTAGCTTTCTTGTTTACCTTGGTAGCAAACACGATATGAACGGTAGCTCGGAGTTACGGCAACTATAATGTAGTGTAATAAAACTACTATGAACAAAAGCTAGTGGTTCATATTAGGCTAGCAATAACGTGTTTATAATTGCAATCTTATACGGGTAGTCTGCTACGTTCGGTCATTCAATGTAACTGGCATGAATAATATGCTAACCTAGCTTTCTTGTTTACCTTGGTAGCAAACACGATATGAACGGTAGCTCGGAGTTACGGCAACTATAATGTAGTGTAATAAAACTACTATGAACAAAAGCTAGTGGTTCATATTAGGCTAGCAATAACGTGTTTATAATTGCAATCTTATACGGGTAGTCTGCTACGTTCGGTCATTCATTGTAACTGGCATGAATAATATGCTAACCTAGCTTTCTTGTTTACCTTGGTAGCAAACACGATATGAACGGTAGCTCGGAGTTACGGCAACTATAATGTAGTGTAATAAAACTACTATGAACAAAAGCTAGTGGTTCATATTAGGCTAGCAATAACGTGTTTATAATTGCAATCTTATACGGGTAGTCTGCTACGTTCGGTCATTCATTGTAACTGGCATGAATACGATGTTTTCCGCTAGCCTCGTTAGCTAGCCAACTGTAATGTACTGACCGTACGGTAAATCACCCGGAGTATACTGTATGAGTATTCCGTGTGTGAATGCAGACATTCTCCTGCCATGACAAACATGTAAGGCCATCTGCTGACATTGTAGTTGATATATTTAAACGCTAGCAACGTCGTTAGCCCAGTAAGCACTGTGTCAAGTGTTTTCCCGAGCAAACCCATGTCTAGCTCCGTTGGTTAGCTCGGTAGCATACACGCTAGGAACGTCAGCTATAATGTAATTACGTTTCGCGACTGACCGTACGGTAAATCACCCGGAGTATACTATCTATGAGTATTTTGTGTGTGAATGCAGACATTCTCCTGCTATGAGATACATGTATGTAAGGCCATCTGCTGATATTAGAGTTGATATATGGAAACGCTAGCAGTCCGACACACGTTTACACATTTAAACAGTCGTGGAAGATACCTTGTTTGATAAATACACAAATAACAATGCAAACTTACAGGTTGTGTACCCTAATCTTCCCCTGCTCCAAACGGTCCAAACAAACTAGGAATAGCATCGTCCTTCAGTTTCAAATGCTGTGCATATCCGGCCTCAAACTGGGCAATGTTTTGGAAGCTTTCGTCTGTGAAATGCCGCGCACACAGTAACGTTCTTCGAACCTCTGAAGGAACAGTGTTAAACAGAAATTTCAACCACTGACTTCGTTGTGGTTCTTCCGTCGGTAGGACAAACAGCTCAGATTTCTCCTCACATTTCAGGAAACAGGTCCTTGGCATTGGCATGACTGGATCGATTGTGAACTGAACCAGAGCTTCCAACAGTAAATGTTAGGCTGGCAGAGGGTGCGGCCAGCGCCGCTGGGTGTGGCCATAGCTCTTCCGGATTGGTCCATTACCGCATGACATCATGCCGTACCCGGAACTAAATGGAAGACTCAAATGGGCAGTGACGTATCTCCAACGAGGCGTTTTGGGGAGGTATTTTCTGTGTTAGAGTTTTACTCGCTACAGGGTGTACTTTGAGGGTTTTGACTCTGCACACCGTTTACATGCATAAAAACCTTCATAACACACAAGGGGACGGGTAATAACCAGATGTCAAAGCTAGAGATAGGTTCACTCTGATTGAAAATGACATGCGCGAAGCCCCCACCTTTTCTCTTCACAACGTGTGTGTGTGGGGGACTCCCCCTTCGATTCTATTGGCTCTAACGGTCAGAAAGAGGTGTCAACCATCAAAATCGAGCAAGGGGGGCCAGAGATATGGAAAATCCACCCAAATGACCCCAGAAGTGGTTTATTTTTGCTAAATCTCTCTAAAAAGGTCAAATGTCACTTGTTTTGCATCAATCTTGATACAGGATACTTATTATATGTTGTACTTTGGATTCCTAAAGCTTTTAGTCTACTAACCCATCATCCAAGGGTGGTTTTCACTATAAGTAAAAAAGAATTTTTGGACGGACACTATAATTTACAGTTTTTTACTATGTAAAATCAGAATTTTCTTTAAAATAAAAAACATCTATATTGATTCTGACTTTTCTACATTCAACTCACAGGTTTATCATTACTTTGAGAAAAAATATTATTAATTTAACCCTTTTAGAAGGGAAGATATGGTCATTTGTTCTGGGAATGTCATTTTCGAGCCTGAGACCTGAAAAACAGGCTCAGGGCTTAACAGGTTAAAGCATGGAGACATGTCACAGTAGACACTAAATAATAATAAGAAGCTGAAAATTAGCATAACACACTGAAAAAATTAAACATTGACTTTAATTAAATATATTATGTCAACAGGTTCCACATACTGTAATTGTATTAGGTTAGTTGAATGTAATGGTATTAAGTTGAACCTATTATTTTTAATTGAAATGTAATATTATTGGTTTCAACAAACCAAATAAATGATGTGTAATTTGTTTATAAAATACATTTAAGTCAACGTTCAAAAAGATGTCAGCTCATGGCCCCTTTAAATCAGTGTTAAATGTAAGTAACATTCATTGAATTTCACTGAATTTAATTGACCCTAACTATAGCTCTTCCTTCACCAGGCTGCTGCTGGCAATTAGCAATGAAAGGAAATCAATAAGTAATGACTTGTTCACCTGATATTGCCTGGCAGGACTGTCCATCAGCTGGAATAGCATCAATACATGTACAGATGCCACTAACAATGGAATCACAGGCTCCATATGTGACACATGTGCTGTATGGCCAAGCAAAATTGTCCTCACATCTACACTGGAAGCCAGTGGCAGTCGAGGAACACACTGATGAAAGAAAAGTGATCAGTATAGCATAAAAGGTGTTTATATGTTGGTAAGAAGGTCAACATAGCTACTCAAATGACTCACCTGTTGTAAAGGTAATTTCTGAGATCTCTGTGTTGTTACCAAGTTGTATGGGAAAACTGTTCAAAGAGGACTGAAACTGCTGAATTATTGCCACATCAGAGGCATTCAATACAATATCAAGCGTGTAATTCCATTGGTTTGTAGCCACTAGAGAGATTGAAATAAATACAAACAAAATATAAATGTTGTTTTAAATCATCCACACACAATATACAAGTTCTTAATAGTTGGTATTTGGGGAACTACTTTTTTGAGTTTGATGAGATGAGTCACACCTCTCATGTTTTAAATCTCTTAAAGTAACTATCAGTTATAAAGTGTTATTATTCCAATAGTCTTTAATATTTAATAATGAGACTTACCACTCCTTTTTTCCCTGGTGTGAGGCAGAAATGATTCTTCTTCATTGTGTTCCTGAGACAACAGATAGGGTTCAGGTTCAAATAATTGCTTTGTGTGTTGAAGGCTGTGACAGGGCCGGCCCTTGGCATAGGCAGTATAGGCGAATGCTAAGGGCGCATCAATCTATGGGGGGCGCCGAAAATTGAAAAAAAAAACAGAAATTAAATAATGTATTTCATAACAACACAATTTCCCGATTTTGGATCAACAAAGTACATCTTATTATCTTATACTAACAGAACTGCGCCTATATTGCGTACAGCGCCCATAAACTAATCAAGTTGAACTGCCCCAGCCCCAGTCAAAACCAGAGGTTTATGTGAAATAGTTCTTTTTTTTAAATAATGTTTTTAGTGTGCAATTATAGGTTTTAATTTTGTATTTGTGTTAATTTAAAATAAATCAAACTCCCAAAAAACGTATACAGCTTTTATTAACATTGGAATTTACTGTGTAAGCGGCCGCAGGGGGGAGAGCTTTAGAGAGCTCTCTCCTGAAAGACTGAGAGGCTCTGATAACCTCAGCTCAGTGAGGTAAAGGCACACCTTTATATGATCATTATAGTTATAAAAAAATAAGAGAATAGATGAAAAACAGGTATAAAATACTATGACAGTAAAAAAAAGTTGTTATTAATAAACAAGAATACAGTTTAAAAGGGGAGTGATTTGTAAAATATCCATAAATAAAAAGAAAATCTGTTTTCAGTTCTGTTTCATATGGATGTTGAGAGATGTATCCATAGATCTCTTCATTTTGCTCTCAAAGTGCACCAGATTGATGCTTTTAACTTCAATATTAAAAAAAAAAAAATCTTCCCGGGGGAGCATGCCCCCGGACCCCCTAGTGGAGGTTAGGTCCACCCCCCACTTAAATCATGTTCAAATGGATAGGATACTAAATACATTTGCACACATCTTGTGTCCATATCTTTCTGTTTTGGTGGTCATGCCACAACCGTGCACGTGAATGCATGCGCAAGTCATAGTGAGTGTCTGCATTTTGGGGGGGGGGCGCCAGCTAAAATCTTGCCTAGGGCAGCAAATTGGTCAGGGCTGTGATCCCATATTTTCCGTACAGTATTGTAAACACCGTTGACCTACCGGTAAAACCTGACTTGGAGATTCAATGAAGCTCCCTGTTTCCAAAATAGTTAGTGTCAGGAGAAGGGCAAAGATGGACAAGCATGTCTTAAATATTGCCATTCCTTTTAAGAAAGTGGGACAGAAAAGAAAAAAAAACATTATATAATCATACCACCCAGCTTTACATTGTTTGTATTGTTAGATAATTACATAGATATTGAACACTGTCATAATTATACCTTGTTCTTATACCACAGAACAAATAAAGGTCAAGCACATTGTTGAGGGTTTCTTAACATTTATCTTATTACATCATTGGATTCATCTTTATAGACCTATAAAGATGCCATTCCAATCATGGCTTTGGGTTTGGCCACCATTTTAAGTAATGTGTACAAGGTATATTTAAGAAGAACTATATTTACTTGCCGAATAAAGTTTAGCTGGGAAACCAACACATGTATATGGGTGTTTGTTTGACATTTCTTTTGATCAATTATATAACTTATATTTGATGAATTTCCAAAATGTATTTGTCTGGGGGAGTGAATTTCTGGTTACTATTGGAAAAATGTGTACTGTAATTTGATTGGTGCAATATCTGTGTGGACAGGTTATTTTTGGTTTTATAAGTTAAAACGCTTTGCCCAGCTGTTCTTCTTTCTTTCTGAACATTTTGATTACAGCCTACATTTTTGTTACAAATACCTTGGTATCTGGCTTGATGATTGTCTCACTTTTAAACTTCAGGTCAATAACCTGCTTAAAAAGCTGAGGGTTAGACTAGGTTTATTTTTCAGAAACAAGTCCTGTTTCTCTTTTGAAGCCAGGAAAAGGCTAGTCACTGTGACCTTTTTACCTGTGCTGGACTATGGTGATCTGGTCTATATTAATGCACCTGCCCATTGCCTGAACAAGTTAGATGCCGCCTATCACAGTGCACTGAGATTTGTCACAAATTGTAAAGCACTTGTCCATCACTGTACCCTGTATGCAAGGGCAGGTCTGCCTTCACTTACTGTACGGAGGCTCAGTCATTGGTACACGTTTATTTATAAAGCCATGTTGGGTAAACTCCCTTATTACATCTGTTCACTGATAACACAGAGAGTTGCAAGCAGCTATTGTCTGAGATCGCATGATGTAGTCTTGTTAGATGTGCCAAGAGCAAGGACTGTCTTAGGTAAGACAGCTTTTATGTGCGCAGCGCCACTTGCTTGGAACAGTCTACAGCTAAAATTGAAACTGAGCAATTTTATTCCTCTGAATGTTTTTAAAGCAAGTCTAAATGAAATGCTCATTGAAACTATGGGTATTTGTAAATGTTGATAAGTATGTAAATGTAGCTTGTAAATATGTTGTATGATATCCTCTATTGTTTTATGTTGTTTTATGTTTCATGTGGAACCTAATTGTTGAAGGTCTCCCTTGAAAAAGAGATCTATGATCTCAAGGGACAATCTGGATGAATAAAGGTTTGAAATGAATAGTTTGTGCATTGCATGAAGTATAAAAGTTGCTACCGTGAGTTATGTGCAAAGTGTCTCTCTATCTCTCTCTCTATCTATAACTATCCAACCCAGTCTCACGGCATTTCGTGTAATAGTCACGAAATACATTTAATCTATTGATTCGTATTCACCAACACGGTTTTCCCATTTTTTTCGTGTCACACGGAACGTTTTTAAAAGCAATGTATTTCTATTGGTAGTATGTTTCGTGCGTGCACCACGTCTTTTTGTCCGGTCGGGTCTTGGAAGACCAGAAGCTGTGTGGTTCATAAAAATATTTTCCTACTCAATATCAAGCCACAATTATTGTTTTTATTTTAAATTGTATAATGTCTGACTTTTTTTGCTGTCCGCGAGGAAAATAAATTGGGCTCAGAGCCTCAGAATACTGAAATCTGTATTTTTTTAAATCTTTTTTTCCTTCTAATTTGTTATTATTTGGTGCAGACACGAAACATACTACCAATAGAAATACATTGCCATTAAAATCGTTCTGTGTCAGAATACTGAAATCTGTATTTTTTTAAATATTTGTTTCCTTCTAATTTGTTATTATTTACATTGCTTTTAAAATCGTTCTGTGTGACAGGAAAAAAATGGGGAAATCGTGTTGGTGAACACGAATCAATAGATTAATTTTGTGACAATAACACGAAATGCCGTGAGACTCGGTTGAACTATCTATCGATCTATCTATAACTATCTATATATCTATCTATCTATATATATCTCTCTCTATCTATCTATCTATCTATCTATCTATAAGGAACCGCAGTAAACAACAGGCGTAGCTTTAGCAACACGTCATGTTTATGTTTTCGCACGAGATCAATAGCGTGAAAATCACTGCATTTTCTATAAGGTAAATATTACCCGTTGCTGCTGATGGGTATAAATTAGGGATGTCCCGATCACCTTTTTTTGCTCCCGATCCGATTCCGATCATTTGATTTTGACAATCTGCCGATACCGATTTTTCCCGATCCGATCTTTATGCAATGCATTAAGAGGAAAAAAAAAGGTAACAGATAACGGCTGGTCATCCAACGCGATGAATTCAGCTATCTTGGCTGTTATTTTTTTGGCCTTTTCACTGTTCTGGGGAAGTTTCTCTTTCCTTTTAAAAGTCTCTGAAAGTGTCGGTTGTTTCAGTGCCGTTACCTGAGTGGCCGCTGTGTACTCGTCGTGTTGTTGTTGGTGGTGTTTGTATTAGATTGGTCATGTTGAACGTAGCTCTGTTCTTTCCACCACGCGGAACCTCCGCCTTGCAAACATTGCATCTGGCTGTTACACTGCCTTCGCTTTCAATTTTATAATACTTCCAAACTCCTGACATTTCTCTGTCCCGACTCCCGAGTCACCAGCTGAACGTAGCCTCTTGTTAGCTTACTGCTACTATTAGACACTGCGCCCACTCTGTTGCCAGATTTGAGAGAAATAAGCAACCAGGTCTATGAAAACAAGCCCAAAAGAAGCAACACATACATGATGTTGTGTAATTTTAAACCAAAACTAAGGCCTCAGGATGACTTTAAGACGTGAACATGGTCATTTTTGTTTTGTAACATTAAATAAAATGTATACAAATATTTTATAAAAAAAAAAAAAAAAAAAAAATTCCGATCCCCGATTTTTTTCTCCCGATCCCCGATCACGTGATTTTCACGTGATCGGGGATCGGGAGAAAAAAATCGTGATCACGTGATCGGATCGGGACATCCCTAGTATAAATGGCAATTTCTTGGGCAATTTTTTCAATCTGACTTCATATTGACAATTTTTAACAACAGAGGGTGCTACATAACACACTTTCAGGAAAAGTCACGGACTGGGAGACATGAATATTTTATTGAAAAAAAGTTACATACAATCAAGAAACAGCTGCGGGTAAAATGTGCCCGTCGGCGGTTCTGTTAATAGAATAGAATCGGAGGGATGAAACCCCTCTTTAATGGTCACACATGCAGAGCACACAGCACACACAGTGACATTTGGCCTCTGCATTTAACCCATCCTAGTACCAGGAGTCTAGTACTAGAAGCAGTAAGAGACTAGTTCAGAATTTGAAGAGTGTGAAACATATTGAAGGCACTGGAATGTATTTGACATGTCAGTTTGGCAGTAGGGTGCGGCTACGGCGGCCTTGACACTGGACAGCTGATCAGGATCTGGGGCCTCATTTATAAAGGGATATACGCTCAAAAAATGGCGTACGCTAGTTTCTACGCAATGTTGCGAGTTATAAAATACTAACTTGACGGGAAAATGTGCGGTCCTTCACGCAAACTCTAACCCATGCGTACGCACTAAGCACAAAAACAGGAGAGACGAGAAACTGCGACACCGTTGGCAGAAGGAAGAATGGAGTGAAATATGTGGAAATAATACCATAAATAAAATGTTACCTCTCATTTATCAAATATGAAGAATTCATTTTCAAACATTGATTAAAGCCAATCTTAAAATGATTAAACAAACGCCTGTTTGCGACTCCTCAGTGCACACAAAAACATAACTTGGAGAAATAAATAAATACGGATATGTTATTTAAAACCACCTCGAATATGTTGTGTTAATGTAATGAAAAGCAGGAGGACAGAATTACGTCTAAACTGACGCCGTTTTGCATTTCTATAGGTTGTAGATACAAGCATGGTTTTATATACTATCACGTTTAATTGTGTTATATGCCGTTTGCCAAGACTTGATAAGTCGCTCGTAAAACACAGGAGGTATGGAAACTAAGAACACCATATGTGGTAAATTGTACAGCTAATATAACACAACACATTGTATTTCCTTTAACTGGTGGATTATGGATATATAGTTGCTGATCGACAAGCTGGAACACAAACCACCAAATACAAAAAAGTAATTCAGATCCAGTCTCATGACTCCACTCCGGAGGGTTTCCCCGATCATTTCTTAGAGTTTCTCATCAAGGGGGGGTCTCCTGTCCCCGGCACAAACACACTGACACACTGCCTGAGGAAGGTTAAGTGTATTTGTTTTGTCATTAACCTTTTTCGGACCACTTATTTATTTATTTTGGTGACGATCCGACCTCCATGCTGCTACTTTGGTTCAAACTGCATCCACCAAACAATATGATCTATTCTTGACCTCCCCAAAATAACCAAAATCTGACACGGTGTGAGATGTCTTTTTTAGCTGTTCTGTCGTCATTTCCTGCGATCTTCTTCATGCAGTCAGTCAAAATGAATGAATGAATGGGCGTTTCTTTTACTATTTATAGGCAAATATGGGCGTTACGTGAAGCCCGCAAAAGCTGCGCCGCATTTCGAGTCGATTGTGATTTATAAAGGGAAACAGGCGTAGGAAGTGCCGTACGCACTTCCCTTGCCGGTACGCAATGTTTTGTGAATCGGAAAATGTCGGAACATTTCTGTACATATTTTTTTGCTTTGTACTACGTAAGCAACCTTCCCACATGAATCCTACGCAACGCATTATAAATGAGGCCCCAGGTTATCAGTTAGATAATAAAGCCTGTTTACCTGGTTCTGGTCTCTTGCAGTTTTCTGGTTCCTAGAAGCCACGCAGCAGCCTCAGATCATAGAGCAGTATTTTCTAGAGCATTTGTTTTTGCTGGATTGCTTATATGTTGTTTCCAAAAGTTAATTAAACTTTTTATTTCAACAAAGCCTCTTCTTTTTCGTTGAACTTTTTTTAACTGTGGGAGCAAGACTTCTCACAATGGTTCCTGACTACAGACAAGGATGGAAGGAAAAAAGGATTATTCGTTAGGCAAAAAGCAGTACCAAACTGATCTTCACACATTAAAAATCAAATAGGAAAATAACCTACAGGGTTCTTACACCTTTTCCAAAGTCAAATTCAAGCAATTTTCAAGATGCATTTTCAAGCATCTTACAGCTGTTGTAAATTACATATTTATATACACATACTTATACTCAAATGATTATTTCCTTACCTCACATTAAATCAGATGTTCTTTATGCTATAAACAACCAAATGTGTGTTTCGTAATAGCATTCTACATGAGGATGAAAAATTAAAGAAAAGAAAACTAAGTTTAATATTTCAAAATGAGTGACCCATCTGTACGTAGACTGGGCATCCCATATAACCTGGCTGAGCCAATATAAAACAATCAGCCAAATAACTTTTCAATACATTATTGATTACTATTTTTGAGGTACTTTTAGGTTGGCAGTAAACATAAGTCAGAGGTAAATGGTGTACTTTTACTCCACTACATGTATTTAATCCCTTTAGTTACTTTACAGATGTGGATGAATGATGTGAAATATAATTAAGTGTTAAATCAGACTTTAGTTCCACCTGGAGTAAATTCACAAGCTACCCTGCAGTATACAAAGTCATTCAAACTAGCTGCACCTTTACCAGCTTTGAGAACACTTTCATGATCAATCATTATAAAACATATCATATATATTATTCTGAAATGGACCAATCTGCACAATGACTACATTTATTGTTAGCTGCGTTTTCCTGCAGCCTCCTTCCAATAGAGATAATTGGAAGAGACCTCAGGTGTCTTAATTAGGCTCATTTTCAAGAGTCCTCCTGTTACCAGCAGTAGAACTGCGCCCTTTTGGCTTCGGCTTCTTTTGACCTCATTTTGTTGTGCACCTTTATTGTTGCTCATTAAATCCTATTATAATTACTTACCAAATCCATCTGGTGTATGTTATCTTACTCATCCCTAGTGGGTTCGTAACACTCATGATAAATACATTTTTGAAGCTTGCAAAGGGAAGAAGAGGCAACTCTCAACTCGCACCCTGCTCTTCCGCAGCGCCGCTCCCCCTCCCTCGGCTGAAATTATGAAGTAAAGGCGTATAGTAATCATAGATAACACGACAGGGTCCGGGACAGTTTGTTTTCATCTGTTTTCAAATAAACAAAGTATTGGCTTTCAGAATATTAAACTTGTTTCCGCAAATTCAGATGATAAATACAACTTTGAAGCTTGTAACGGCATAATTACAAGCGGAGAACGGAGTAATTTAACGTCACAGCAGGCATAACAACAGCCGGTGTTTCTTGTCAGTGTTTCCCCGGTACACAAACACAATACACACAAACGCAAAAATACACACACACTCGCGAGCTTCCCCCAGACCAGTAATACAAAATGTGTTTTTGGGTCAATGTGACTGATTTCGATAGAGCAAGTCACATTTGGTTTAGGCACAAAACATACTACCAGTAGAAATACATTGCTTTTAAAATCGCTCTGTGTCGAATCAATAGATTATATTTCGTGACTATAACACGAAATGCCGTGAGACTTGGTTGAATTACAACAGTGAGTGCTTCATCCTCTGAACACCACAGGATAGCGACTGTAACGCACATATTAACGTAGGTACGCTCCTCTGAAATGATTGTCCCCTGCAATTATTATTATCCCTCATCGAGTTCGCTATTCAGCTTGCTAACGTTAGCTTAAACAAACGTAACATGCAACGTTAGCCTAATCTAAAATGCTCTACTACGGCGTACCTTTCATGTGGCTCGTCAGCGCAGACTCTCGCATCGTTATTTTTTGCAAACTTTGCAGGAGGCTACTCGTGGGATTGACCCTCGTCTTAGCCATGGCTTGTATTTGTCTTCTGCTAGCCAGCGCTCGTTGTAACTGCAACCTCCTGGCATACTGTCATCTATCACTCTCATCAGAATGTCTAGGTCACGCGCATTGCGCGGGAAGGCCGGAGCGGAGCTGTTTTATGTAAAAGCGAAGCAATTAAGGCGCTCAGACTTCTTTATTTTCTTTTAATCTAAAAAGCGAAGTAAAGCATTTACAATTTCAAGCACTCTATCCCAAATTCAAGCACCATTCCCAAAATTCAAGCACTTTTCAAACCTTGAAAACACCTCGTACAATTTCAAGCATTTTCAAGGATTTCCAGCACCCGTACGCACCCTGAACCTAGAACTGGACCTACTGTAACCCTAATTGGGAAATAAACATATGCTCAATTGGCTTGCTATCCCTTCAATGCAAGTTGGAACCAGGAACCCCTCAACAAAAACAGGCTGTTTGCTATCCTGGCTCCAAAATAGTGGAACGACTCCCAATTGATATCAGGACAGCAGAAAGTCTTCATATCTTCTGTCACAAACTAAAAAACCTACCTGTTTCGCTTGTAACTTGGCCATTAAATTATAATAAAAAAAGCAATTGAAGAGCCAATTTGAAACTAATGCACCTATACTAACAATGGCTGGCTTATTTGAAGCAACTTTTATTGTTGTCCTGAGTTTGTATCTTTATGGTTTATTGCACTTATTGTAAGTCGCTTTGGATAAAAGCGTCAGTTAAATTGAATGTCATGTATATACTAATGGTAAAAAAACGATACAATTCCCACAGTTGCAAACACGAGAAGTAAATTAACTTTCTGATTCAACCAACAGCCATGACCTGACATGATTAAACTGCAGCCAAAAAATCCTTTCCCATTAAGTAAACCCCTCATGCTTTCTTTATTATTCAATGGAAACCTTTCTTATATCATCTATTCATCTCAGAACAAAACAAACAATAGAGTTATTTTAAGAGCTACTGAACTGATTATATCCTTCTCGTAAAATGTAATTGTATATATATGCACACCTTGAAATGTGTCAAGATAATAAGAAGCAGACTCATTGTTAACCTGTATAGTATACAAAGGCAACCTTTGATGTTCAAAATGTGTAAATAGTAAAATGGCAAGTTTAATGTCTGTTAAGCCCTGAGCCTGTTTTTCAGGTCTCAGGCTCGAAAATGACATTCCCAGAACAAATGACCATATCTTCCCTTCTAAAAGGGTTAAATTAATAATCTTTTTTCTCAAAGTAATGATAAACCTGTGAGTTGGATGTAGAAAAGTCAGAATCAATATAGATGTTTTTTATTTTAAAGAAAATTCAGATTTTACATAGATAAATTATAGTGTCCGTCCAAAATTTATTTTTTACTTATAGTGAAAACTACCCTTGGATGATGGTAAGGTAGACTAAAAGCTTTAGGAATCCAAAGTACAACATATGTGACCCGCTCTATCGAAATCAGTCGGAAGTCGCAACGGCTCATTTCAAAATAAACGTGGATTTGCATAAAAAACTATTTTTTCGGGGTTCGGGTGTTTTGTTTGATTTTAAATAAACAAAGTCTTGGCTTTCAGAATATGAAACTTTTATTTCCAAAATCACACGATAAATACATTTTTGAAGCTTGTAAAGGGAAGATGACAGGCACCTCTCACTCGCAATCTGCTCTTCCGCAGAGCCGCACCCCCTCCCTCCGGCTGAAATTATGAATGTAAGGCATATAGTAATCATAGATAACACGGCAGGGTCCGTTACAGTTTGTTTTCATCTGATTTCAAATAAACAAAGTCTTGGCTTTCAGAATATTAAACTTGTTTCGGCACATTTAGATGATAAATACAACTTTGAAGCTTGTAACGGCATAATTACAAGCGGAGAACGGAGTAATTTAACGTCACAGCAGTTATAACAACAGCCGGTGTTTCTCGTGAGTGTTTTCCCCGGGAAACAAACACAATATACACAAATGCAAAAACACACACACACACACACTCGCGAGCTTCCCCCAGACCAGTAATCCAAACGGAAATATTTTCCCTCCGGACTATTTTGATCATTTGCTCCGCTAATAATCAATCAGATCGATGGATTCCAGAGAAGAGGAAACTTTGAAGGCCTTTTTCTCAAAATGATGACTCGGTGACAGTCATTATATAATGTGACATATTTTGCTTAATATTTGGAGTACAAAAACAATCCTGATATCATTAGAAAGCTAGGAATCTCCTCTTTCCAACAGTGTATACAACTCAAAATGTGTCTCCGGGTCAATGCGACTGATTTCGATAGAGCAGGTCACATATAAGTACCCTGTATCAAGATTGATGCAAAACAAGTGACATTTGACCTTTTTAGAGAGGTTTAGCCAAAAACACTCCACCTCTGAGGTGATTTGGGTGGAATTGTTTTTTTTTTCATATCTCTGGCCCCCCTTTGTCGATTTTGATGGTTGACACCTCTTTCTGACCGTTAGAGCCAATAGAATCGAAGGGGGAGGCTCACACACACACTCATTGTGAAGAGAAAAGGTGGGGGCTGTGCGCATGTAAATGTAAAGCAGAGTGGAGCTACATTCTAGCTCTGGCATTTGGAAACTAAAAAGCAGTTTTATTGCTTATGGATTATCAGAAATAATTTCAAAGAGGGCACAGATACATTGGATGAACCTATGGATTAACTGCAGCATCGTTTTTTTATTGTTTTAATGCCATTGAAGACCAGTTTTGACCAAGGTAAGCCATGTTAGCGTTTCTAGCCACCTAGCTACACATGTTATGATGTACGCTTTCGTTTATAGCGTCGCAAATGTTTATCACTGAGTGTTGAGGTTTTGGTGGGGGCTTTGCGCATGTAATTTTGCATTAGAGTGAAGCTACACTCTAGCTCTGACATCTAGAAACGGAAAAGCATGGATTATCCGTTTTATCGCTCATGGATTATCAGAAATCATTTCAAAGGGACACAGACACATTGGATTAACCTATGGATTAACTTCAGCAGCGTTTTTATCGTTTTAATGCCATGGAAGACCACTTTGGAGAGACTACAAAGCCAAGGTAAGAATGTTAGCATTTTTAGCTACCTAGCGTCACCTGTTTTGATGTCTGTTTTTGTTTATAAC